ACATTGCCCTTTATTTTATTTTATTGTTTATTATTTTTTAATTGTTGGAAGTATTACAGATGTCCCTCTTTCTTCCTCGTTGAGTCCCTCCTTCTTGCTCCCACCTCTCCACTCTTCCCAGCCCAGTGTTCGTGTCGCTTGGCTGTGCGTATATGCATGGAAGATCTTCGGTTCATCTCACCCTTTAACAGCAGCTGGGGCCCATTCCCAATATTAAATCATGTGTTAAAATAATTGATGTGTTTTCCAGCAGCTGAGAGCACCATGGCTGAGACAAGGTCACAGTGGCTTCGTGTGACAGAGTAGGAAGAAGATGGTTGGCCACAGGCCTGCCGTCCAGCAGTGAGGGGTGCCCGGCGGAGGCAGAAAGTGACCTGGGCTAGAAATTCTTGTTCACTGTAAAGTTTGGCCTTTAGCAGGAGGTGCCTGGTCTCTCCAGAACTACTTATCGCAACAACACAAGACACAGAGAAAAGCCCTCGGAGTCTATTGATGTATGAGGCGTGGCTACGATGTATGGGGCACAGCTCCCCGGAAACATCACACAGGCTGTGTAACCACCTGAGCAGAAATGGCCCACCCTTGTCAGGCTTCCGTCTGTGTATGGAGCTGTGGGTATTCTTCAGCGGCTTCGTGAGGCAGTCTGAGCATGTGTGTGTGGGTGAGAAAGACCCAGGGAAGCAGGTCGCTGCTCGGAACTCTATGCCGCACTTGGGCCAGCGACTACTTACAGCCTTGGAGTCAGTAGTGAAGCTTGATGCTGGCTGCGATCTCTCATTCATGATTCCTAGCTGTTGCAGAGGCCATTTCTCAGAATGCTGTCGGTGCTTTATTGAAATATGGGAGGAAGCAAGCCAGGGGACAATGTGGGTTACAGGTCTGAAGGGATCCAAAAGGAGAGACGAGACGTGAAGGGTAATCGAGGAGACAGACCCCAGGGTCCTACGGCAGCCAGTCCTGACTGGAGCAGTCTGACTCAACAAGCTGTTTCAGCAACATGCCTTCTGGCCTCAGGTCATCTGTTACAACCTGGTGGTGCCCGGGAGCATTTGGCCTTGGCTTCTTGGGTCATAGCTAATATCCCTCTCACTCTCTTCTCCATGCCACAAACACAGGAGGCACAACGTCAAAACTTTGAGAATATCTATATGATTTAAAGCCAAGACAAGAACTAACTACATCATGAAATGAATATTCAATTACATTAAAATGAGAAACTGTTCACCAAAAAGTACTGTAATGAAAGTGAAAAATAAACTACACATTGTGTATATGTGTGTATGTGTGTGTGTGTGTGTGTGTTGGGGGGGGGTATTCGCAACACATACACACAAAGGTATATTATGCTGAATATATAAAGATATATATTTATAAGTTTATATAAGAATATATAAAGAACTCCTACAAGTTAGCAAAAAAAAAAAAAAAGTCCGGCTGGTGTGGCTCAGTGGTTGAGCATTGACACATGTACCAAGGGGTCACCAGTTCGATTCCTGGTCAGGACACATTCCCAGGTTGTGGGCCAAATCCCCAGTGTGGGGCATGCAGGAGGTGGCCAATTGATGTTCTTTCTTATCGATGTTTCTAACTTTCTCTCCTCCCCGCCTCTCTCTGCAAAATCAATAAAGGAAAAAAAAAAAAAAAACCCACAAAGAACAAAATGGACAGGAGACACAAACAGGCATTTCGCAGAAGAGAAAACAAGGCTGGAAATAAACACATGAAAAGATGTTCAACTTCCTTGTAACTAATGCAAATAAAGTCCATGGTGAGATCTTTTCCACCCACTACATAAGTAAAACTGAAGCAGTCCCATACTACCAAATGTCAAGGAAGAGAAGTACACTGCTGGTAGGACTACAATGTGGTAACAGCATCTGGGAAACAATTTGGCATTATCTTGCAAAGCTGAAAATTTGCCTACCCTAGCAATTAGCAGTTGTACCCTGGAGCAGAAAGGTGGCGTGTGTTGGTGTGGGGGATGGGGCTATATTGAAGCCCTAGCCTTCAAAGTGGCTGGGTGGCCTGGTCCTGTGGTTCACAGGCTGATGGTCTCCTCAGGCAGCTACCAGCCTTGTACTCCTACTTATCTTGATGTGCCAACTAATGTAATTTTCTGTGTGTACAATGATGTAAATAAGTTTGGAAAGGTCTGCCCACAGAATATTTGTAGAATATTCATAGAAGTATTGTTTAACCTGGAATCAACCCAAACACCAGTAACACACAAATCAATACCTTAGAATTGTGATATAGCCTTTAAGTGGAATACTATATAGCACCAAAAAGGAACAAACTGGAACTACATACACTAACCATAGATGAGTTTCAGAACAGTGTACAAGAATAAAGCAGGTCAAATGATCTTTAAAATAGGATTCTATTTATATCAAGTGCAGAAACATTCAAAGCTCAAAATACTGTTTAGAGATACATTAATTATGCAGTAAAATGGTACACCTTCAACTAGAAAGGTGGCAGCCTTGGGGACTTGTGGGAAGCTTCCAAGGCATTGTGGGTAAATGGGATTTTTAAAGAAAAATTCTTTATATCATAATTCTGTATATACACTATATATGTACATATACATACATATAATAGCTCTATTTTTTATAAGAATTATTCTACAAAGTTATATTTTTTAAAAGGGTATAAGAAGGTAGTATATGAAACCTCATTTCTACAAAAAAATGTATCTACATATTTCATGAATTCAAAGGCACACTCCCCCTTCACACATTTCTGAAGTTAGGAAGCATCTTAAAATTGCTGCAGACCCAGTGGCAGGTAGGCTATAGTTGTCATTGTCATGCATAAAGTTGCTCATAACCATTCATATTCTTGTCTCTCAACACCATGTAGAATCTCCTTGAAGACTGCTTTGTGATTCGATGTCAGAACAGAGCTGCTGTGTTCTCAGAAAGTTCAGAAGCTTGGGAGCAGGAAGGATGCTTTGCATCGCGGAGGATGAGACATAGTCAGGGTTGGAGAGAAACTCAGCCATTTGATCTTTTCTTGCAAAGCAACAACCGAGTGCTCTGGGACCTAAGAAAGGAAGATATCCACGAGTGGGTGGTGCTGTGTTGTTCCTGAGATACGTGCGAAGAAGGGTCTAATCCACGCCCAGTCAGCCAGCTAGGGAAACTGAGGAAAGACATTTCAAAGCAACAAACAGATGATGGATTCATTAATTTCTGTCAGTTTTATTTTTTCTTTCTTACTACTATATAAAGAAATAATAGTGCATTTTTATAGCCAGTAGCATCTTAGATTTGATGAAATGTAGAATGAATTCTGCATATATGCAAATAGAAGAAAGTGCTAAGGAATTACAAATCAAAGAGATAAATATCTGACTTGTGAGATTACAGTTGATTCTCCCCCATTGGTTACTGTTACCTTCAATTTTTCTACAACCAAGACAGTACTTGTAGAACAAAAATATCATTACTTAGAAAACATTCAGATTTTATAACATTTGTTAAAAAAAAAAAATCAAGCATATTGCTAAGAGAAAGTGGAGGGAAATGAGCCCACTTTCATCCAAGGTCACATGGATCCCGCCGCCGCTGTCAAAGCAAGTCCAAGTGCAGAAAACCCTCAAGGAGACCCACGGGACTGTGTTCCAGGCCTAGTAACGCGAACACGTGGGTTCTTCGGCCAGGTATGTAACCACTCTGAGCTTCCGTTCCCCCAGCCGTGCAGTGGGGTCCCCACAGGGCGTTAGGAAACCGAGTGCAGTGTTGTTGAAGTCTTGTGCAGCATCAATTCCCATGGCTGATAATTTGCTACCTATCCGTGTGCGCGCACGTGTGTCTATCTTTGGGGGAGGAAGCATCTCTCGGGGCTGGTGCCGCGCGGGATGCGGTGTCAGTTACTCCCTGCACGGCTCTCCTGCAGGATGCGTCTGGAGGGTGGACTTGGTGAGCCCCCGGCGCCGCCTGCAGCCCTTCCCGCGCCTTCAGCTTCCAGGATGCTCTGCTCAAGGGTCTAACCTTGCTTGAAACCCCATCTTATACTAAAATAAAATAAACTCTCCCTTCTTTCTGCCAGGAGTCCTTCGTGGGTCTTCCGCGAGGAAGGTAACTGCGCCCCCTGCCGTGTCCTGGGACTGGTCACCTGTTTGTGCGCCACAAGCTGTCTGCTTCATGTGCTGTGACCCAAGACTCGGGTTCACCCTCGCGTCCCTGGTGTTGGGCGCGGAGCAGGAGCCCGACAGATGTTTCCTCAGAAGGTTCGGTGGAGAACGCTGGCTGCACGACTGCTGTCCTCCCCAGAGACAAGCATCCTTGTCGTGTGTTGTGAAAACTCCTGTTCTTGATTTAACCACAAAGAGGCTGGGCAGCAGTTTTAGGAGATGTAAGTTACTGTCGCATGTAGGATGAACGAGAAATAAAACACATGACAATCAAAGTGAAACAGATAAGGAAGCAGGATGTTTCAGCACTCCTTTGAGTTCGTTATTCCCCACCCTGCCCAAACAGGTTTCATCCGCGGCCGAGGCGTGGGGCAAAACCACCGTGTTCGGTCCCGCGGGCAGCGAGCGGCGGGGGAGCCGGGTGCTCCCCGCTGCGGAGCACCCGGAACGCGGGCCTGGGGCCTTAAGGCAATTCAGTCTCAACTTGGCCAATTCTCGGCGAGATGCTGTGGAAGAGCGATGCCCCCGCCGCCAGCTAACCCTCCTTCTCCCGAGAGGGCGCCTTACTGCCTCACATCTAAATGTGAAAACGGAACAATACATCCAAGACCAATCATTTAAAGAGAAGAAATGGTTTGCATGGGGAGAAATTGCAAAGTTCAGAAAAAAATAAATCTTAACCACTGAAGTTTTGGGAAACATTTTATAATTTATATATAAAATCTCAGTAAGAAACCATGTAAAATGACAGAAATATCCACTTTACATTGAGTCAAAAAAAAAAAAAATACACACACACTGAATGTAAATTTTAATTACAAAACAAGAATATGAATAAAACATTTTAAAATAATCTCAATTATTTGGCAACTCATCACATCATTGCTAGAGACAAATTTGATCGTAAGAAAAGTTTAATCTTATGAAAAACATAAGTTGGACAGTTTGCTCATATGGGAGTTTCAAGGTGTTTAAAAAAGGATCTGGCATAAAGCCAGTTCCCATCCTGCAATAATCATGTAGGAAACAACATAAAGTCCTGACTCATGATAGGAGTGACCTCACCTTCAAAGCGTTCTCTCCACTGAGGATGGTAGGGGAAGAACAGGGCCGAGCCGCGGGGGCGGGGCCACGGGAGGAGGGGCTTCTGCTGCAGCGGGCAGGGCGGCCCTTTCCCTGAACCAGGTCCCGCTCGCTCGCCAGTGGGGCGGTGGTCAAGTCACCGATGGAGTATAATCTAAAACAAGTTACATTCTTAAAAACAGTCACAGCTGCGAATAGAAGAGCGATGGGGCCTTGAGCTAAACTACTTCACTTGAGCACACGGAGAAGGCCCTGTATCCCTGCCAGGTCATATTCAGGCACAGGGCAGGCGTTCCTAAAACACTTCTACTGATGACTGCATAGCATTTAAAACCTTTTTTTTTTTTTAATTAAAAAAATAATAAAATAAAATAAACAGATATATAGTAAAGTTCACAGATAAGTTTTCTTTGTAAAATAAATAAGTGTTCATTGATTAGCATCATACACAGAGTAAAATACAACCTATTTTTACATGTTTATATACTGTACACAGAGGACCAGCAGGCAGCCTGGTGTCTGATGGCTGGAAGGGTTTGCATTCGTGATGTGCCCCAGCGGGAAATCCCAATTTCCAATGTTAAAATATACAGCTACGTTGTTTTGACTTCAGATACAAAGTAAACTTATTTTCCTTTATCTGAAATAAATGTACATAATATCTTCTATGAACAATAGTTTATAAAGCTGTTTAAAACCTAAGGAAAAGCCGGCACCTAGGAACTTAGCACATGCGTGTCCTTTCCCTGGTTTAAAAAAAACAGCCTCTGGCCGGAGGCTCGGGCTTCTTCCCTCCTCTCCAAGTCCGCTCAGGAGCCGCAGCAGTGCGGTTACCGCTTCGCCTTCTTCCCCGGGGCCTCCTCCACTCTTTGCTGGCCCCGCGTGCGCGCCCCGGGCGGGCTGCCCTCCCTCTTGCGCTTGGTGGAAGGGGACAGCTGCGCCTTTGACCTGTAGTGGACAAAAGTCAGGCAGTGGTGAAAGTTAAGAGGAGCTGTGAGTTCCTTAAAAAACGAAAGGTTTTTGAACTTGAGCGCCGAGAAGAGAGACTCCGGGTCAGGTTCACAAAGCAAAGGCGGCGGCCTGGTTGGCTGCGGGCGGCCTCCCACCTAGTGCGGTCAGACGCCTGTGCTCTGGGTCCTGCCCTGCCACACTCCAGGTGTTGACCTTGGTCAAACAGATCTGCCTCTCTGGGCCCCAGCTCCTCTGCCCACGAAATAACCCACAGCTGCCCCCACGCACACTGCCCCAAGCGGCAGCAACAGGCCAGAAGGCCGCAGGATGGCAGGCGGCCGGCGGAAGCGCACAGCCGTTCTCAGAGGTTCTCAGAGCCGCCTGCGCACAACGGCGGGGCGGACCTTGGAAGCGCTCTCATCCCCTCCCTGCCCCTCCCTGCCGACGGCCGGGGCCTGCTCTCCACCTGCCACTGGAATGATCCGTGGGGAGCTCCACTGATCCTGCCATCGTCCTGCTGCCTAGATCTGTGTGCACGTCTCTCTCTCTGGCTCTCGGGTCTGTTAGGATAGTCATCCGGGGAACTCACAAAGTCCTCCGTCACCTACCCCTGACTTCTGCACCATCCTGGCCTACAGCCCTGCCAAAGTATTCCCATCTCAAACACATGATGTGCTTTTCCGTTTTCATGCGACTTTTTTTGTGTGTGTCCCCCCGCACCTCCCATGTGGCAAACCTCATTTATTTCACGGCCAGTTCGGAAGCACCTGCTCTGGGAAGCCACCCTCTGCAAGTCCCTCAGCACCTCCCGTTGTCATTTGGCCACTGGGTTTTAAAGTGCAGGCTAAGGCACTATTTAAAAGCAAAGTACTGCCCTGGCCGGTTTGGCTCAGTGGTTGGAGCGTCGGCCTGCGGTACAGAGAGACCCGGGTTCGGTTCCCGCTAAAAGCAAAGTACTGACAGGGCCCGGCAGGAAACACCCGGGGTCACATCACCACGTCTGGCTCACAGAGGTGTGCTCACAGTCGCAGCAGCACTGCAGAGTATGTTCTTACTGTGGGCTGCTGTCAAAGAGGATTGAAAGTCATGGGCACACATGTCCCCATGAGACAGGAGGCTCCGCCAGGGCAGCTGCTGAGTTTCACACACTCTCATCCCAGTGCCTGGTACAAGGCCGGGTACAAGCCGCACCAGGAAAACTAAAACTGCTGGAGATGGGGAAATGGGACTCGACCCACATGAAGACTTTTTTTGTTCCTCTGACAGCAAAAGTACACAAGCTCACACTGAGTAAACTGTGGTCATACACGATGAGGTCACGGCGCCACAGCCCTCTGCTGGGCTCAGAACGTGTGCAGGAGAGCCATCGGTCACCAGGGAACCTCCTCGCTGGCCGGATGTGTGTCCTGCATGGCGCTGGGCGTGCTCAGCAGAGAACAGGAGCATGGAGTGGGGGTGCTCTCCTCCCTGTGGGAGCCTGGAGCCCCACCAGCCCCCTCTCCACCCAGTGTGGTCTGACCAGCTTGTTACAAATGCAGACTCTCAGGCCTCGCCCAGACCCCCAGACCTAGAGTCTACCTCCTTGCAAGGTCCTCTGTGACTGGGCTGCACATTCTAAGAAATCAGAACAGATCTTTCTGAGAGTCAACTCACATATAAAATAAGGACAAACACGACATTTTACACGATGAGGATCCCAGGGAGAATCTGTGTGCAAGGCACCTGCACCTGTTTCCTTCCCTTCTGTACACAGGGATGACGACGCTCCCATACACGACGAGCAGCTGTGAAGGTCAGTGTGACACGTTACAATGGTTTCGCTACACTGTGCAGAATGTGGCGTTTTCTGATGCTGCAATGTCCAGAGATTAAGACAAGTCCCTGATCTCAAGGAAGAAGCTTCTGCCTCAGAGGGGAAACGAGGCTGATATGCCTAGAGCGACACCATCCACCACTGTCACCTGCACAGCCCGACCAGAGTGCCGCCGGAAGGAGAGATGGGGATGGGCTGAAGCGGGCGGGGCAGGCCTGGCTTACGGGACTGGTGGCAAGGGCGCTCAAGAGAGCATCAGCACGAGCCAAGGCAAGGGCGCAGGGCGCAGCACAGCCTGGGGGAGGCGGCAGAGGGTCAGGCCGTGATGGAAGGTGCCTGGACGGGGAGCTCGGCTGGACCTCACGGCCGCTCCAACGCTCTGCGACGCTCAGGCAGAGACGGTTCTGTGTGGGCACCTGCTCCACCATGCGGGCTGATTTAGCCAGGCATTCAGCTCTGTGACCACTCAGGAAAAAAAATCACACCTTGCCTCCAGCCCTGGTGGACAGGCGCTGGCATGGAAGGCTCACAGGCATCGAGGGCAAGCCTGTGCAGGGGGGCAGTGGGGGGAGGCCCAACTGGCAGGGCCCCGAGACTCCTGTACCCTTCCTATTGCTTTTGGAGTACGTTTCCATTTGGAAAACCAGTGGTCCCCAAAGAATTATCTGGCAAGACAAAAGTCTGCAAGGGGCTTAGGAAGAAAGCATTACTGCATCAAAAGTAGTCTCAGGGGGTTAAAATGACTTGAGGTGTAAGAAAGGACTCCCTCTCCTCATGGGGAGATTCAGCAGCTGGGGCTGGGCTGCCCCGTTTGGATGGGGCTCCAGCAGACAGCTCGCTGTGGTGCTTTCTGAACTAGGGTACGGAAACCCTGGGACTCCAGAAAGGGGACTAAAGGTGGGAGAACGATTGGACTGAAGGAAAGAACGTTGCTAATAAGTAGATCTCATGTCATCTGAGACTAACTCTGCTCTGCTTTTACTGTGTGACACAGTTACAGTGATTTAGAAAAGATAAATCTGCGACACAAACTACACTGGCTGACAAGATAAAGGTCCCCAAAGTGCTCACTAGAGTAGAGTAAGGGGTCAAGGTTAGTGAAGGTACAATCCTGAAGCTGAAGGCTAAGGCCCAGTGACTGGGTCCGTGTGGTCAACAGCACAGGTAGCAGGGGAAGGAAGATCTGAGTCACCAGTAAAAATGGCATGAAAAGGACCTGCTGAGCAAGTGTGCAGGTCAGGTCGGGCGGTCAGGTGAAACGAGGTGGACAGTCCTCCTGCGTGTTCATCAGCGCAGCGGGGGGAGAACACCTTCTTAAACAGGAGACAGATACACCGAGGGCAGGGATGATGATGGTGCAAACGAGAAGCCGTAGCAGCTGCCCTCAGATGTTTAAGGGGAAGCGGACGGAGGCCCAGGGGCAGAGCCGCAGGGAGGCGAGCTCCCACTGAACACCAGGAAGGCAGCCAGGGGGAGGTGGATTTCCTGGCCACTGCGGCACGTGCTGGCACAGTGATGAAGACACGGATCGGTCAGCGGTCCTGACCTGCCGAGACCCCATCCCACCCTGAGAATCAGGGATCATGAAGACGTCAGAGCCCCGTCCATCAAGCCATGCCAAGGAACCTGACCCAAAGAGGAAGGAATCCTTTTGCAAATCACAAGCTTGAAAGCACATAGGGAAGAGCACTGATAACTCAGTGACTGCAGAACTGTAAGTGCCATGTTGCCTTTTGAAGGATGATTTTAAAAGGCAGATATGACAGCCTCTTTCAGACCCTCCCTCAAAGATGCCGAGGAGGCCACGGAACTTCCTCTGAGGTGGGCCTCCTGTGCTGGCTGACCCTCCCATGACTACTGAGGGAGGCGGTGCTGCAGGGAGTTCTGTACCTGAGTGCGGAGTACTGGGCCCAGCACCCCACCCTCTCCGATCAGCAGGGATCTTGACTCAGGGACTTCGCTTCCATTTGTCTGAGCTGCCTCACCTGACAAACAAGTATGAGACCTTCCTTCCGGTCACGGGAGCACCTAGTCATGAATGGTTAGTGATGTGCAGGCTGGAGGAATTAGAAACAGTTGATTTTAAGTCCCTAGGTGAACATAAGATACTACCGTGACAGGTGTTAAGTGATATTCTTGAAATAAATGTTCCTGAACTTTTTCATCTTGGTTAAGGAAATTACAGATGATGACAACAAGATTAACAACTTGTGAGTCACAATAAAAATGGAAAATATTCTCACGTTAGACAATGTTATTAAACTATAAAGTGATGTACTAGTTCAGCGGGGAGAGACGAACTCTGATGTTAGCAGGTATAATGACACCGGTGGGGGTGGGGAGTATAACTGGCAAATGTTTGCTTAGATGAAGCTAAAGGGTTCTCTCCTATAGGACCATGCCAAGCCCTTAATATTTTCATGCACTCTGTGACTTGGAAGGGACTGTGCACTCATGTGACCGTGGTACTACTGGGGAACATGAACTGACCAGTCATGTAAGTTAAAATGGTCACGCGTGGGCAGGCTCACAGGACCGCCTCTTGCACAGCACTGGCTGGGGCACCGTCCAGCCGGGCCGGCTGGCCCCACTCCCCGCAATGAAGCCTGCAGACTGTAGGGCTGTGCTGCACGGATCTGTGCTCTCACCCCGGGGATCAGCATATCAGACACATCTACTCCTGCTCGTAAACACTGTAACGGAATTGCACGGCTCCCCCCAAACAGGTGTCTAAATCCTGGGAAGACTCTGTGATCCTCAGTAATGGTCTAGGATGGAAACCGGTTCTCCAAGAGGAACCGACATGTCGGAAGCTGACAGCACGTGCTTCTCTGCCAAAGACTATGTGGAAGCTGCCCGTTACCTCTGAGCCTCGGACCTCGTGGCGGACCTGGTGGTGGCTCCCGCCGGCTCGTCCTCCTCCTCTTCCTCCTCCTCCTCCTCCGACTCCGGGTCTTTCTTGTCCTCGGCCGCTTCAGAAACGGATTTCTGGCGTTTTCTTTCTGGTTCTGAGGATTCTGTTCAAACAGAAGAGTAACACCTGGACTGTATAATTCCCAAAGGTACTTCCAAAGGCCAGAGTCATGGAGTTCAGACGCAGGGTATTAGGGACTTGAGGCAGAAGTGCTTTTCCATTTCCTTTTTGTTTCAGCACTTGCATTCACAACTGTTTAACTTAGTCTCAAACACACTGGGGAGAGTTTACTTAGCAGTTCACTGAGCATTCACGCAAACTTCACATGTACTCAGAAAAGCGTCTGGGATGTACCACTTCTGACACGAGATTAGGGCCATTTCACACGTATTTATGTAATATTAATACTAGCTGTATCCCACTGGGGTTTTTCCCTGTCCAAAGAAAAACTCTTAAGACGGCGGTTTTGAGAGGAGAAGGCTCCATCGTCAGGCGCCTGCTGGGAACGTACCGGCATCGTCGGAGGAAGTGAGCGAGCGCTTGGGCTTCCTGCCCCGCCGTCGCACGTTTGCTGCCGCTCTTTCTTCACCGTCGTCCTAGAAGCAACCACAGTGAAGTTGGGAGGGCGACCCGCTGAGCATTTGCCGAGTTTACTTCTAAAGGAGATGTTGTCTTGGTAAGAAAACCAACACTTACATTGCTTCCGCTTCTCTCCTGCAGGGCACCTGTTTCTTTGCTGGACTCATCTTTAAGAAAAGGGAAATCTCTGCATTACCGCTTCATCAGTGTGAAATAAATGCCAACAGTCTGGCTTGTGCTGTGAACACACCAGTGCTAGCTAACGGACGCACCGCATACAATTCCTCGTGTTTATTAGCCACGCGGAGTCGGAGTCGGAAGAGCTGGCGCACGGGGACGGTTTGCCATCAATGAGCTACGTGACATGAGCAAATCCCCCAACTCCCTGGGCCTCAGCGTTTCATCGGTAGGGGAGGGAGTTGGGTTAGGCCACCTTTTTGGCCCCTTGTTGCTCAAATGCTCTGAACCCAGAAAGTGAGGAGAAAGGGGACATCAAGGGATCCCCCAAATACACCAGGAACTGTGGTCAAGATTACAGACTCCACTAACATCTCAATGTAGCTCTGTAAATATTTTTTTTTTTTTTTTATCCTCACCCGAGGACATTTTTCCATTTTTTGCACAGATAGAGTGGGAGGGAGAGAGAGGAAGAGAGAGAGAGAAACATCGACGTGAAAGGGACACATCGAGTGGCTGCCACCCGCACGACCAACCAGAGCCGGGGACAAACTGCAACCGAGGTACATGCCCTTAGCGGGAACCGAACCCGGGTCTCTCCGGACCGCAGGCCGATGCTCTAACCGCTGAGCCAAACCGGCCAGGGCAGCTCTGTAAATATTACAATCCCATTTTATAGTTAGGAAAACCGAGGCTCCAGCAACTTGATTGGAGCAATTTGTTCAGTCACAAAACTGAGAAGTGGGTGATAAATGGAATTCTCTGACTCTAAATACTTACATTATGGTAACTAAAAAAACTAAGACTCTGTTAGGTTGTATACGCCTATTCTTTATGTATTTGCTTTCTGCAGGTGTTACAATTTTTTGGGACTGTACCATAGTCAGAAAAATGACGCTCCGTTCAATAACTATCCCCAAATAGCTAAGCCACAGGACCCTCGCAAGCCACGCAGCCAGCAGACTTCCCGCAGACCGCCCTGCAGCAGCTGTCCTCTTCGGCGAGTCCAACATCCGAACGCACATGCAAGAGCCCAATGCAAAACAGGCCAACAAAGAAGAACCCTGTCTTACTTACACAGTCATCTTAACCCAGATTCGAAACTACTACTGAACAACCCCAAACATAATCACAGCATAAACTGGAGTCCCTACAGGGCACTCAAGTGGTAAAAATTCTTGTTATATGGATTTAAAATCTTATATTATAAATAAAAATTGGTTAAAAGCCAAGCATAAGCAGAATCACCTTTTTAAAACAAACAAACCATAGTATTCCAAGAGATAAAAAAAAACGAAAGTATAGATTACACGTTAAATGTGGAAAAACTGTCATTTGCTTGACCTTGGGGACCAGAACACATCCCCTCCTGATCTGACCATGCTATTCATGTGATCCCAAATAGCTGTCACACTCAGCCTTTTGCCTATGTTGGCCCTTTAAAACTCACTAATGGCTCTTCATGCTCTTAAGTAAAAATTATTAAATCACGAAATGAATATATACACATTGTAAAAAGTTCTGGAAAATGCAGGCAACAGTAACAAATAACATGGAATGTTCCCATCACCCCACCATCCAGAGCTAATCATTATCAATATTTGGAATGAGGAAAAAAATACTTGAAACAATTTTCTCTCTCGTGCCCTGGCTTTGTAAGCTGCAGAGGCTGCTTTCAAAATTCTTCTCTTTCTGAGAACAATAGGCTCTTGAGCTGAATTTGTGTTTTCCCGATAACTGTGCCTGGTCCCCGGGCTGGTCTTTCTCCCTGATGCATGTCCAGTGAATCACAGTTTGCACATGGCGAAGTGCCTTCACTCCCCTCTCTGAAGGCTTCCCAGGCTTCTAAAACCAAGAACGGCTCAGATCACGGGAAAAGCCAATAGGCACAGTCTCTCGTGGCTCTAAGGACCCCTGTTCCTACCAAGGAGGCCACCCACTTCAGGAGAAACAATGACACTTGTTAGTAAAAGCCACTCGGACAGCAGGCTCCCGGCCCTCCTCACATCACACACAGCAACGCTGTGGGTACAGACCTGCTTGCATTACTCTCAGTTTGCCGCCAGGTGGAGACTGTTCTACCTAAATTTAAAGAGATAAAACACCAAAGTCAGCAGTTTGTCATCACAGAGAGGTCTATGGCCTCCATTTATTATGCAGGAGAACATGTGGGTCCTACTTTCCACAGAGGATGAAGAACACCAAGTGACAGGGACGCCACGGCCTCCTCCCAGGCCACTCCTGCCCCCAGCACTGGAGGACACGCAGCACAGCCCGGGGAGCCAGCTACGCGCTGGGAGGGGCATTCCCAGGGTCCCTTCGGGTCTGTTGCCTCAGGATAACTCTAAGATGTCCAAGGACATGGCGTCACAGGGTCGTGAGGGAGCGAGTGGCAGTGCCACGGGCCTGGATCCCACGGGCTTTTGTTAGGTCAGGGGCATGTCTGTTCCACGGATGCCATAGGGCACACACGTCAGGGTCAAAGACAAAGAGTGTTTAAGCAGATCAAGTGTCGCTGAGGATCTCACTGCACTGACATCGGCACAACTTATTACAGAAGAGATCCCACAGAAAACAGGAGCGTGGTGAGACACATCAGCAGATCCCGTAAAGCAGCCCCAAGCTAACTACCACATAACACAGCAACTCTCTTTATTTTAATTAAGGGTGAACGGGAGGCCAAGTCGCCAGGACATTTTCACATACCACACTCACAAGTGAGGACGTGGATGGCAGAACTAGCAATGCCTACATTCGGGCATCAGTAATGAGACAGTCTGGGAGGCTAGTTAGCGTTCTATGTAAGCAAGTCTTTTAAAGCTTTTAGAATACTTTAAAAACATAAAGTTGTTCAGAACATCAGACAGCAGTGTGCCCTTTCTCGGTCGAGAGCAGGTAAGTGAAGAGTTCTCGACTTTGCAGTTACTTACAGTGGCAGTGCCGGTGTCTGACTTGCAGTCCTCCTCTAAAAGTGCAAGAAAAAGATACTTCACTTAGAAAACCAGACTGAAAATTTCTAGTGTGAACTAAAAACACACCAAATACCCACTTGTTTTTAATGCTATTTCCACGGGGTGTTTACGAGGTCTTCCTCTTTTCCGTTTAATAATTACCGGCTGGTCTTCCTAAGAGAGAAAGGGAAAACATTTCTTTATCCTCTATGACACACATAATATCTCATTTTCTCAAAATGGACTTCGGAGCTCCTTCCTGAGAGGCCTCCAGCCCGGCTCCATCACTAAACACGTGGCCTTGGGCTCCGGTCTCCCCCCCTCCGGCCCGAGTCCTGAGGTCCGAGAAGATGAGGGAATGCAAGGAAATGCTTTGTGTCAGCTTCGTTTCTGGAACAGAGACGCACACCCACTTAAATTCGGGCCCAGTCCGTCACTTGTGACCACACGTCACCCTTACGAAGAATACAGGAGGCCAGTGAACTTCTCATACAGAAGTATGAGGAAACAGAAAGAAGTGTTAAAAAGACTGGCAAACGTGGCAGTGATTACCTAGAAGGTCTGGCTGGGTCACATGCTGTTTCCCTTGATTTACGGGCCTGTCCCAGGTCACTGTGATTCTGGGCGCCCCCGGGCTCTGTAGACCCACTGGGCCAGGAGCAAGCGGCCCCCAGGAGCCTCGCTCTGCCTCGGGAGCCTGGGTCCCACTTGGGACTCGCGCAGGCCTCCTGGCTCCTGCCGCTGCTCCCTCTCCGCCCTGTGCAGACTCCAGGGGCAGCAGCACCCTGATCCTAAGTGGCTGTGACAGAAGTAGGTCTCATACAAATGTACGGGTGAAGTGGAGATGAAGAGAACCAAATTAATCAGTGACAATGATAAAATGTACTGTATGAGATGGTGCCCCACTGTACTTACAAAAAAGAGCTCTTGCAACTCCTTCAAAAGTACTAAAGAAAACTTGAAGCAACAGCATTATTGCATTTGATTTGTTTCTCATCCTTATGTAAATGTGAACAGATAAGGATGAAAGCCTTCCTTACCTCCTGAGACTTCACGTTGTCATCATCATTCTGCTCCGTCCTTTCGCCAGCAGCTTCACTGCTAGATTCATCTGCAGAAACGGCAGGCAGAACTCAGTCTCAGCGGGGGACCACGGTCAGCCCACTGCCGGGACACCACCACGGCGACCCGCGAAGTCCCCTTGGCACACGCACACGCACTCCACTCGCAGGCCTAGGCCACCAAGTTAACACTCGAGTCTGGTGAACTGGTAAGCGGCGCACTCCGGGTAGAACAGGACCCAAAGCAGAAACGCCGCCACGCCCTATGGACGTCGAGCAGGCGTGCGGCGGGATTGTCGGGGAGCCTGGCCAGGGACGCTGGCTGCCTGAGGGCTCACCTCTCTCTTCCAAGGCCCGCGAGGCAGCCCTGCTGCTGCTGGGACTTGTTTTAGATGATTCTTCCAAATCTCCAGGGCTCTCTTCCTGCAGAGAAGTTGAACAAGACAAGAAGTGTCTTTTTTAAACTGATCCTCCCAGAGTTTTCCTTTCTATGTCAAAACACAATTTCCCAGGGGGTTTTTAGAATAGTTTGTTGCAAACTGTTTTTTAAAAAAGTAACCATTGTTGCTGCTAGTGAAACTATAAAAAAGATACTTTCTTGAAGGCAGAAGAACATGAGATAAGGTTCAACTTAATCAAGGCTGCTATCCCACCCCCCCACCCCCACCCCCCGGCAAAATGGAAATCACTTTTCTCCCTCACATTGGGCTGTGTTTTCAAGAGAAACTCCAGAGGAGGCTGGGAACGTGCAACAGCTTTTTTCTTGCCCTACAGGGAAGGGATAAGGTGGAAGGCGCACAGAAAACTTCTGGGCATCTGGTGGGGCTGATGGACAGCCATGATCTCTCCACAGTTAAATTATTCACTTTGGTTGCAAAAAAGTTTTAAGCATGAAACACCAAAATGTTTATGCTCTACTCATAATTCTGTAAATAAAAATATGTAAATTAAACTTAATCTCAGAGTATTGTTTTATAATATTCAAAATATTACCTATATATGAGTTTTGTTTTGTTTTTTACCGAAAATGATGGGAAAATAAAAAGGTGCTCTTCCATCAGCTTCTCTCCAAACTGAGTATTATCTCCGGACTCTTGTTCTGTGGAGAGCCTGTTTCTTGGCTACAGCTAACTGAAATTCATGGCAATGTGTGACTTTCTCTCTTTAGTTGCTAAAATTTTTTTACTACTTTTTATTTAGTTCATCTGTTATTGAGAGAAAAGGGACTTTGAACTGGCCTTAGTGACTAGAAGTCAGCTGCATATATTTTTATAAGCTGATTTAAACACTTCTGGGACAAGGTGGAAACATAATTAGGGAAGGAAGAGAATGAGGAGATGGGGCCAGTTTGGAACAGACACTGAGACGTGTGGAGTCTCAGAAATGGAAAGACACCCAAGAAGAGGGGTCTCCCAGCAAAAGGAAAAAGCCAGGCCCAGAACAAGAGAAGGCAGGCAGAAACAAAAACGTGTATGTCACTCCCCTGGGTCATAAGATGGAAATTATCCACAGGAAAAGGCAGTGGATATGGCCCATCCTTGCACGACATACATTTTAGGGGCAGGAGCGAAGGTGGAAAGGAGGCAGGACATTAAAGCTAAGAGTAACAGCATCACTGTGTCTCACAGGTTTGGTGTAGGTGTGTCTGGAACAAGGCATACTGCGCTGTGCACGAAAGCACCTAAGAACCTAAGGACGTTAAAATATGACTGAACAAAACCTAAGCGAGGATTACATTAAAACGGTGATAAAATACAATCGTACAGTATAAACTTATACAGAAATTCACACTTGAAATCTACATTCTCATTAACCAATCTCACCCCAATAAATTTTTAAAAAGTGTCTATCTTATAGCAAATATAATAAATGTGATTTTTTTCTGTAAAAAAAATAAAGTGCGGCATTTGTTTCTTTTATGAGCCTCAGAATGTACATCTTTTATAATATGGTGATTACTATTAAAGACATATAAAATAATAGGGATATGAGAATGAAAAGAATGTATAAAGATCCGCAGTGATGTAATTAGGTTGCTGCCCAAGGCTGAACCACGGAAGAAATACCTTGGCACCCGGGGGCTCCGTGGCGGTACACTGCCTCTGTGCCGCTTCCACTCTGGGATCCAGGACATCTGCGTTATCATCTGTGAATCGTTCGGACAGAATCACAAAGGAATAGGAGCTACATGAGAATGAAATGCACAGCTCTATTCTAGGCCAGTCTGCGACTGCTTTCTTAGGCCTGTGATGCAGTGAAGCTAGTTATTCTAAACGTGTGTGCAATGGCAGTGATCTGAGCGCCGAGCACTGGCCTTGGCCTTGGCAAAGACAAAAAAATAAGTAACAATATAAAACCCACAAATGCTCAAATAACACCAAACACCAGCAGTTCTGTGGAAAGGGCTTAGGGCATTTGGAGTCCCAGGGACACGTTAACTTTCTAAAGAAGTTACCTAAGAGGTACAGGTTAGTGGTTAAGGTCATGGGCTGGGCTGAGACTCTCAGGATCTTGTTTTATTTATTAACTGGTGATAACACCTAACACATAGTTATTGTAAATGTGTATCAAGTACCATGGATAATACCTAGCTAGAGTACGAACTCAGTAATCATAAAGTAGTTACATTCCTCAACATAAAAGAAAAGTACTTAACTATCCATTCTTTCTCACATTTTATTTAATAAGTGCTTACTGAATTTGTACTTTGTGTCCAGGTATTAAAGTATAAAAGTCTCTGCACTGCCCTGGTCAGTTTGGCTCAGTGGTTAGAGCATCGACCAGTGGACCAGAGAGTCCCAGGTTCGATTCCCGCTAAAGGTTGCAGTTCATCCCCAGCCCGGGTTGAGTCGTGTGGGTGACAACCAGTCAATGTTTCTCTCTCTCTTCCTCCCTCTCTATCTGAAATTAAATGCAAAAATGTCCTCAAGTGAGAATAAAAAAAAGAGGCTCTGCACTGTCCAATATGGCAGCCACTAGCCACATGGGGCTATTGACATTTAAATGGATTAAAATAGACACAATAAAAAACTCAGTCTTTCATTTACACTGACCACATTCAAGCGGTCAACAGTCACACATGGTTAGTAGCTACTGTACTGGACAAAACAAATACAAGACATTTCCCTTCACTGCAATGAGTCCTACTGGACAGCAGGTCACAGACCAGGAGAACGTCGACAGCACGAGGCACAGAAGGCCACTGGATGCCTTCACCGTACTGCTTCACTAGCTCCGTGGGCATTTGTTCACGCTCTCCAGTAAGGAGCTTGGCGCTGCCTGGCGGGTCCCAGGCCCAGGTTACAGGGGCGGTCTGGGTTTGTGAGTTCCAGGAAACAATCTACTTTCTAGATCAAGTCCAGAAAAGACCTTGGAGGTTTGGTCAAGCTAGTCTGGAAACAAAATGGACTCAAGCGCTGGGAAGTAAACAACTACAATTCACCCTGGAACAACATGGTTTTAAACTGTGTTTAGGGACCAATGTGGTTCAAACCCACGTTCTTTAAGGGGCAACTGTATTTCCAATGTGGGATCTGTGTATGCAGAAGGCTGACCCAACTTACACTCAGCTTTCAACTGAGTGTCATTGTGCAGGCAGTCTGGGCCCCTCCCCTCACGCTGTTCAAGGCTGACTTTACTACCCTCTAGAATGTTCTGTCATTAGCCCACTATTTTGCATGTGAAACTAATAGAATTTCAGAGACGTCTGAAACAAAGACATGTGTATTTCTAAATACCCAGTTCGTCCTCTGAAGAGGGGCACGGCTTCTTCCTCTTCCTTCTGGACGCATGCCTCTCTCTCTCTTCCGCCTGGAACGAGGAACGGCTGGTAAAGGCACTGGAATTTGCATCCTGTCTACTGAAATGGGGGCATTAGACTCTAGCCTTTGGAATACATTTTTATATAAATTTTAAAAGTCTAGAATAGCACTTTTGGCATCTAGATTTGGATTAGATGAAGATTGAGGAGTTTTTTGTTTTTTTTAATTTGAATGTAAATCCATGAAAAATATTCAAATGTGTTTCTGGTTACGTGCTATACTTTGACAGATCTAAAATACATTTAAAAAGTATTTCTCATTTCACCCTCTCCGACTGTCTCACAGTCAAGAGCATGCCATGAGTTAGCCGGTGTGGTTCCTCCTCTCAGGGGCCCATCCAAGGGTGGATGGGAGGCAGTCAGTGAGGGAGGAGGCTTGAGTACATGGCATGGACATGTCCAAGTCACCCTGGGATCTGTCAGATTACCTAGACGTCACACGAGTGTACACAGATTAAAGTGATATGGAGAACTCATGACATTCTGTTTACTTTTAATACATACAAAGAAGAGAAGCCTTTATGCGCAGGTGGAAACACTACGTTTAAAACATGAACCTTGCCCGGCCGGGGTGGCTCAGTGGTTGAGCGTTGACCCCTGCACCAAGAGGTCGCCGGTTCCATTCCCAGTCAGGGCACATGCCCAGGTTGTGGGCCTGATCCTCAGTGAGGGGCATGCAGGAGGTGGCCAATGTTCTCTCTCATCGATGTTTCTCACTCTCCCTTCCTCTCTCTCTAAAATCAATAAAGAAACAAATTAAAAAATAAAATAAAATAAAACATGAACCTTGAGTTTCTTACAAAAACCCACCTCTTCAACATTGTGACCTCTTCCGGCTTCTGTGCTGTCTTTTCTACCACTGGACAGCTCTGAATATAAATAACAAAAAACAAAAAAACCTTACATGATTATTCATCCCGAACCTATTTCAGGGGTGTGTGTGGCAGGGGAAAGGAAATAGGGAAGACGACTCCACAGACTGCAGGAAAACCCAGGAGTCCACCTCTGGGTGCAGTAAGGGGTGTGCAGGGAAGAGGACCCCGGGGCTCTCCACGCACACTTCATGGCCACCTCCACCCAGCTCGGGCAGCAGCACAACGTGAAGACGTGTACGGGAAAATGAGTGGACATCCTTTGGTCACCAGGTCAGCGAGCACCTCAAACCACACGACAGCAGCAAATGTGGGAGAAGGCGTGGGCAACAACTGAAAAGCCACCAGGGACAATGTGGCACACTCAGTGAGGTGGCGCAGGCACCTCCCAGCCCAGTCATTCTGCACCCGGAGTGCCAGGGGCCTCACTGCACACGGACGAGGAAATGGGTAGGGTTGCGTGGGAGCACTCTGTAACGGGGAGCACAGGGAACACTAAAGAGCGACGAGTTACCCACATCATGACAGTATTTCTGAACACAGCTGAATGGACAAATGTGGCGCAGAAAGTCTACTGTGAGACGTCTGTTCCACCAGCACGCACCAACGTGCTCCGTGTTGGGTGTGGGAACACGTATGGCAAGTGCAGAGGGGTGGGTCCCTGCAGAGCAGATAGGAGACTGGGATCAGAGGGCACAGTGTGGATTCAACTGTACCTATGACAATTTAAAAAGCATCTGAAGCAAATGTAGTAAATCTTAAGAAATGCTAAAACTGGGTGATGAGCATGTGGATTTGTAATTATAGCTGCTTGACTTTGGTTTGACATATGGTATAACACGTCATAAAAATAACTGTATCAGCCTGGCCCGGTCAGTGTGGCTCCGTGGACTGAGCGACATCCCATGGACTGAGAGGTCCCGGTTCAATTCCCGGTGAGGGCACATGCCCGGGCTGTGGGCTCCATCCCCGGTAGGGGGCGTGCAGGAGGCAGCTGATCAATGTCTCTCACATCAATGTTTCTATCTCTTTTTCCCTTCTTCTCTCTCTAAAAAAAGTCAATATAAACATATTAAAAAAATAAGTAAAAATAATTGTATCAGAGGTTAAGACCTCTTTCCTCACTCTTGGAATAGAGAATTACAAAACCAGCAGGAACGAACAAGCCTATGTTCCGAGAAGAGATTTATCCCTCTGGAGTTGGCAGCCTTCCGGTGTCGGGACGGGAGGCCTGACCCCTGGGAGGACACAGACATCAGGTGACATCCCTGACCCGTGCCCAACTGAGACTGCAGTCAGAGTGGACCCAGTCGGCACTCCACACGGACCTCTGCCCCGTACAAACCACAGGGGCCGTCCACTGGGGAGTGCACGGGCCTGGCCCACGGCGCGGCTGCTGGCCGGTTCTGGTAGGTCGGGCAAAGGCCCCGCTTACCAGCGGCCACCACTGGGCTTCCCACGCCTCACTTTCGTCACCTCCGCACGTGATGCCGCCAACACTCACCTCACCGGGTCCCTTAGTGAAGTGAGAGGAAATCTAGGAAGTGGTGAACACAGGGCCTGGCACACAGAAGGCAGTTAACAAGCGGCAATTATAACTACTGTTAAAATTACTTCGGGGGATTCGTTAACTCACCTTCTTTGTTACGAGATTTGCTGTGGGCGTCCTCATCCGTTCTCGAGCCTGCATGTCTGACCTAACGTGCGACAGAAATGTTGTTTACAGACGACCTGAGGAGCCTTGAAGGCAGACAGAAGCACAGAGGTGACCCTGACCTGGCCGCGAGGAGCCGGTACAAGCTCTTCAGTTTCACCCAGAACTTCAAGAGCACAGAGCAGCCCCTTCTGAAGAAGCGCCTGTTTGACAGATGATCATCCTACCGTGTGTATGTGGCTTGTCTTTGAAATGGTTATGGCAGAAGAGTAAGAAATGAGAGAAAACATTCCTGAATTCTGTGAATTATCTTCCCATCCAACGATCCCTCAAGATTTTCTTTACTTAAAAATACGAAAAGATTCTGTCATTCTGTCCTAAGATTTCCCTTTGGAAAGCCCTGTCAATTGTACATTTTGTTTCTTTTTTTACTGAGGGAAGTTCAGAAGATCCTACAACGTTCACAATCCAGCCGACTGTGCAAGCCCCCCGCTGCCCGCGGGTGTGTCCGCAGGGCCTGGCAGGCCTCGGACGACAGGGCCCGAACTCGGCCCGAGGGCCTTGGGACAGGGAGTGGCCGCCTGCAGTTTGCGAACATTTTACAAAATGTTCACTCCTGGTGTGACAACAGGTCCCCTACAAGTGCCGTCAGAAGTTTAAAAAATTTTTCTTTCAAACACAAAAGAGATTATGAGAGCTGCTTGTGAAATATATAGATGGCCATCATGGTTTTCTATCTTCAGAAGAGCTTTCCCCAAACATCAAGTCAACTGTAGCTCTCAAAGTGGAATCTGTCGCGCCCACACCACCGCCAGAGAACGTTGCCGTCTGATTTCCAATGCCCTCTGGTCATAACAACAGAGTTCATATTCTTGGACGCATTCCCTTAGCATTTATGCACCAGGTGAGTTTCCTGGTCTGAGCAACCTGGGCCTTCTGCTTCCTTCGTTTTAATTCATGACATTGGCCTAGATTCAGGGCTGCTGAATTCAGAGTGACTTTTGGGGGGGGGGGGGGTGTAAAAAACTATATTTCATGACATCAGTGGATACAGTTGAACGTGGAAAAGGACAAGTAACAATTCTGGGCAGTATGTGGAACTGGAGTGGAGAGCATGCTAAAGTAATGCAGACAACCCCTCCCCCAGGTGCCCTGCCCCATCGCCCTCAAACACTAACCCAACACTACCCCAACAATGACACAAAACTCAGCTGTCACAGGGACTCACCTTCAGTGACTCATTCACTGACAAAGGCTCCCTCTGTAGTTCAGCTGTTCAAAACAAAAATGAGAAATAAAGAAATTGAAAATTGTTTCAGAACCACAGAGAACTTAGAGATGTTTCGGGCAGTTGGGTAGGACTATGATGCTGAGCAGGCCGGCTGCCTCTGTGAATTATAAAATTCTGATCGATTACTTTCTCCAACCCACATCCTGCCTCACTACCAGAAGAGCCAGAGAATGAGTGCGGCCGCCTTGTCCTGCGAGGGCAGGTCCCCGGGTCACCCCGTGCTTTCCGTGCTGGGGCTGCCGCTCCGGAGAAAGGTGGGGCCTTTCCTGACTGTTACCACAGGTAACACCGCTTCATCTGATAATAACGCCATGGAATGAAAAGTTAGATCCCACCCCCTAAACAGCAAAGGTCTATTTACATTCCCTGGAAACTTGGAGTAGAAGGCTCACTGTTTCTCCTCAGCAGTGAGAGCTCACTTTAAACAGCTTCCTTTTGCGTAAGCAGCTCTCATGGAAATACACCTAAACACCGCGGTCTGAAACGTCAACGCGGGGAACAAAGGCCTGCAGAACCTCCAAGACGGCACCTTTCTGACAATTAACACGTGGACGGTCATTATTTGTACTATAACATGTACATACAAATTTTAACGAATGCTCCTGTCTGAGTTTTGGACGCATTAGTCATTGTTGGGACTTTGGTGCGTGGTCTCCCAGGCCTGCCTGACAGATGCTTCTGCCTGTGAGGCTCCCGAGGTCACAGACTTTGAAGGCTGCCGGGACGGTCCCACCCTGACCACGCGTGCCTGGGGGGCTCATACACAGTCCTCACAGGCCGCCTTTCTCTTTGTCCTTCCCACCTAATGCACATCAAATCGTCCTTCAGTATTTGGCTCCAAGAGGGGAAGAGACAAATGCTCATCAAAATTCAAAACTTACATATTCTTGGACCACCCAATTCACTTCTATGGAACTACTTGTGGGAACACATAGTTACCTGCATATGGAAGCTCCCTGGAGCTTATTCTTAACAGTAAAAACGACAAAAACTGGAGACTGCTGAAACAGCTAACACATGGGGAAAGGTGTTAGTTTACCATTGAGGTAAGAGATGAGGTCGATCTGTGCATGCTGACAATGAGCGGCACCCACAACACAAGTCTGGGCACAAACAGGAAATGACCGCACAGTGCCAGCATCATCACGTCACTGTGTTTAAATACATATTGTGTTGAAGGTGGGTTCTCATGAGTGGGACCTTTATTATACATTTCTATATATCTTACTTTCTACAATTAAAGGGGTGGGAGGTGGCAGAGAGAGGTTGGGTCGGCTTAAATCCAGGGCTTCCCCGAGGCCCTACCCAGCAGAGCTGATCCCAAAAGGTACGAATCCACATTTATGACAGTCAGCACCTTCCCCATCTGCACGTCCACTGGGCAAACCCTGAGGGCTGAGACTACGTTCCCCGCCCCATGTCCCTAGTACTTTCCCTGCTCAATGCTCATCATCCCAATGGACACAGGCCATCGAATGAAAAGTTAGATCCCACCCCTACAGGAGATTCTGGCCGCTCTCCTAGCACCTGCCCCAGCCCAGCCTGAGGCCCAGAGATGCCAACTCCACTCTTGCCCCAGGAATAGAGTCCTTGAGTTAAGTCAACACCAAGTTACATTCATCTGGTCACAGTAATTTAGGGTGCACAGCTACCTGAGCGGAATCACAGTAAGTCTTAGGATTTGGGCCAAGAATGATAGCACAAAGATATTTTTCGGAGACCACAGATGAGAAAGCAGTGACCTCTGCTGGGGACAGGGAGAAGACGGGGTGTCTTTGGGGGTACCATTACACTCTTGGATCATGCCTTGCCTTTACTGTTCAGTTTTGTGAATGCTATTAATTGAATGCTTGTGTCCCCTGAAATTCACACATGGAAAATCTAACCCCCGATGCGACAGTATTTGGAGGTGAGTCCGGGAAGGTTTAGACGAGGCCGTAGGGTTCCCACGATGGAATCAGTGTCCTTACAAAGAGACAGACTCTCTCCTCCCACGCACACGGGGAGGCCCTGTGAGCACACAGCCAGGAAGGGGCCCACCAGAAGCCGACCAGGCTGGCACCAGGAACTCAGATTTCCCCACTGCTACACCGTGAGAAATAAGTATTTGTTATTTAAGCCACTTGATCCACAGAATTCTAGCAGACTGAATGAAAAAAATGAGCGAATAAGTTTCATTTAAGCAACTAATTGCAGGGTTTTCTGTTACCTGAAACAAAAATCACCCTGACTGTTCCAACAAACTTGCACAGACATTTCAACGCTATAAAACAAAAAGACACCACAAAAACTAGCTTAAATTTGGTCACGTACTCTAAAGTTCCTACTACTTTTTTCCTAGTTGATGTGTAAATCAAAAGAAAACGTAAAATAATGACTGGAGTATGAACCAGACACAATCTCCACTGTCACAACTCTTCTCATCTCCGTTCCTCCAGCCTTGTGGTCCCCACAGTGTGGTCGAGGGAGCCTGGCAGTTCCTGAGACCTTCCAGTGAGGGGCCCACAAGGCCCCAGGTACAGTCATAATACTCAGATGCTCTCTGCCTTTTAAACTCAGGAGTGTACAATGAGTTTTCCAGAGGTCACATGACGTACCCACAATGATCTGAAAAGACTATTATGACAATCCAATCGTACATGTGTGATGCTGGATTTCCCTCATATTCTTCAACCAAGACAACAGACAGCAACAGACTGAATACAGAAACAGACATGAGAACCAGCTATTTTCCACTGACCTAGATTTAGAAGAGATTTAAAAAAATATAAAACAATGTCACCTTTCTTACTAAATTTTGTTTTGGAAAATCTAGCTATTTTTCATGAAAACCAGGTTATTTATGTTAACTTATAGGGAGTTTATACTGAATTAATGCATATTTTATGACTTTCTCAGTTTTAGTTTCTTATGTGGTAAATGTCAACAGGTATAATCCATACAAGAAAAGCTCTTTGGGGTCCTCAATGAATTCTAAGAGTGTAAAGGGGTCCTGGACCAAAGAGTTTGAGTTGCTGCCCTAATCCTTCCGGACAGTGGGCACTCACTCCCCTAAAAGGACGGCAGTGGCCAGTGACGACTGTGGCGCAGAGACCGGGGGAGGCTCTGCAGGCTGGGAGTAGCTTGGGCGGAGTCACCAGCACTGTGGCCAGAGCCCAGGCTGAGAGGGGGCTGAAGCGGTGGGCACATGGGCTGCACGCAGACTTGCCTTTTGGAAATGAGCTGTGATAACAGCACCTAGACAGGCAGCAAGGCACAGAGACACATTTTAGGAACAGATCAAGGGTCTGCTCAAAGCCACTTTCCTTGTGCTACATGGTTGGGAGCTGTCCCACTTAAACAATTACCTCACATAAAACTGATCGACACTTCCTAAGAAAAGGCGTGTATTAAACATTACGTCAGAGAGTTCCCTCTGACTTAGTTTAAAAGTGAGAGGCAATAAACCAATAATGAACACTCTGAAAGGGAAACTAAAAAAACAATCCCATTTACCATTGCAAAAAAAAAAAAAATTAAGGTGCCCGGGAATAAACTCAACCAACCAAGGAGGTAAAAGACCTGTTCTCAGAAAACTACAGGACATTGAAAAAAGAAATAGAAGAAGATATAAAAAAGTGGAAGCATATACCGTGTTTATGGAATGGAAGAATTAACATCATTTAAATGTCCATACTACACAAAGCAATACATAGATTCAATGCAATCCCTATTAAAGTACCAATGGCATATTTCACAGATCTAGAACAAATACTACAAAAGTTCCTATGGAACCAAGAAAAACCCCAAAGAGACACAGCAATCTTGAAAAAGAAGAACAAAGTTAGAGGGATCACAATACTGGATATCAGGTTATACTACAAAGCGATCACAATCAAAACAACCTGGTACTGGCACAAGAACAGGCATATAGATAAATGGACCAGAACAGAGATCCCAGAAATCAATATAGGACATGGTGCTTAATTAATATTTGGCAAAAAAGGGCAAGAGCATACAATGGAGTAAAGACAATCTCTTCAATAAATGGTGTTCGAAGAACTGAACAGGTATATGCAAAAAAATTAAACTAGACCGCCAACTTACACCATACACAAGAATAAACTCAAAATGGATAAGAGACTTAAATATAAGTCATAAAACCATGAAAACCCTAAATGAAAAGATAGGCAGCAACATCTCAGATATCATATATAGCAGAATTTTTATCAATACATTGCCCAGGGTAAGAGAAACAAAGAAAAAAAATTAATAAATGGAACTATATCAAACTAAAAAGCTTCTGAGTGGCAAAAAAACCAGCATCAAAATGAGAAGGGAACCTACCTTTGGGAGAACATATTTGCCAAAGATATATTGGATAAAGGGTTAATATCCAAAATATATAAATTACTCATACAGCTCAAAAAAGGGAAGATAAACAATCCAATTAAAAAAGGGGTAGAAAAGCTGAATAGACACTTTTCCAAACAGGACATACATATGGCCTGGAGATTTATGAAAAAATGCTCAACATCACTAATCAGAGAGATACAAATTAAAACAACAATCAGCTATCACTTCATACCAGCCAGAATGACCAACATCAACAAATCTTCAAACGAGTGCTGGCGAGGGTGTGGAGAAAAGGGGACTCTAGTACACTGCTGGTGGGAATGCAGACTGGTGCAGCCACTATGGAAAACAATATGGTGTTTCCTCAAAAAACCTAAAAAATGGAACTGCCATTTGACCCAGTGATCCCACCTTTTAGAATATCCCAAACCTAAAACACCAGTCAGAAAGAATATATGGACCCCCATGTTCATAGCAGCACTATATAAATCACTAAAAGCTGGAAACAACCCAAGTGTCCATCAGTAGATGAGTGGATAAAAAAGCAGTGGCACATTGACACAATGGAGTACTATGCAGCTATAAAAAAGATCTCCTACCCTTTGAGAGACATGGAGGGACCTGGAGAGTATTATGCTAAGGGAAATAAGCCAGCCAGAGAGACAAGTATCACATGATCTCACTTATTTATCACATATAATGCACAAAATAAGCTGACTATCAAAATAGATCCAGAAACACAGAAGTAGGGAACAGACTGACAAACCTCAGAGGGAAGGGGGAGGGGTGGGGATTGGAAGAGATAAACCAAAGAACCTATATGTATGTATCATAACTAATGGACACAGACGACAGTGTGGGGAAGGCAGGAGGGGATGAGAGTGGGGAGGAGGGGTCAAGGGGTGAGAAAAGGAGGAACATCTGTAATACTCTCAACAATAAAGATTTAAAAAAAAAAAGTGGGAGGCAATTTCACATAGCCTGTCAGCATATTATTGTGAGTTGGCTATTGATTTTAAGCTGCAATCAAAGGTACAAGCACAGGCAAAGGGAAAAGATGTGAACACCTGCTGAAAGGAGCTTACTTATTCCGGTCGGCTTTCTCCCACGTGGACTTTCTGATGGTGCTGGACTTTCATGATTTTTCTCTTCCTCTGTTGGTACAAATGTCTAAAAAGTCCAAAGAACCATAAAAAATAAGTTAACTGTGGTTTTTATAACAAGAAGGCAAGACTAACCTCAATTAATAAAAACACCACCCAGCATCTTGTAACAATATAAAAGTCTACTTTCAAGTCTGTCCAAAATCTCAAAACGAATATATGTCAGCTTTTAAAAACAAAAAATGAAAAATTAATCTAATTTCACATTTCCTCCATCAACGGCTCTCCTGCTGCTTTAAATTAAAACTCCTACTTAGTACAGCACAGAAGGCCCTTCCCATTCCCTCCAGGGCCTTGAAACCACCACAGCCCGGACTCACCAGCGGGCCCTTCCCTCGTGTCCCGAACATGCTTCTGTGACTGGAAGGCATTCTGTTCTTTCTCTCCTGGTAAACTCCTACTCTACTTACAAAATTCAAATGCAAACTCAGACGTCCTCCCTGGAGCCCTCCTGTCTGCCTAACCACTGCTCCCGTGGGGTGAGCTGAGCTCCCCCACACTGTTCAGCCCCCACGCTTGCTGCTTTCTCATCATGTGTCCCTGGAGGGTGCCACGAGGCAGGCCGGAAAGGGATCCGAAGACTAAATTCTGTAAATCACACGGGCCATGATCAACTAGATTTTTTTCTAAGTACGATGGGAAGCCACTGGAAGTTTTAAGCAGAGTGATGACATGACCTAATCTATGTTTTTCCAGACAGCTCTCAGGGCTGTGTTAATCACAGGCTGGGGGAGGGGCTGGAGGGAAAGAAAGTTCAACAGGGACACCACTGAAGTAGGGGCTTAGACTAGGACAGTGACTGCAGAAACAAACAGATGGACTTAGTCATACTTTGGAAACGGAACCTGTAGGAATTGGCAGTGAATTAAATGTGGGGTGACTCTTAGGTTTCTGGTTGGAGCAAATGGAATTGATGTTTCCACTTAACAGGGATGATTGAGGTTCTCTGTCCCACCTCCCTGCCCCCACCACAGAGTGTAACAATAACAATATTTGAATTGTTTTAAGGACAGTGAAAACTAGAGAGCTACACACTGCTTCTGTGTCTATGTATGCATAAAGTGAAATGGTACGCACACCATTTACAGCTCAGCTCAGCTGATTATCAGCCATACCTCAGTTTTCAAGTTGGCTTTGGAGTCCACTCTTCCCAAAACATTTGATGGAGACTCTTCATTGCCTAATGAAATTCAAAACCACATTAAACCAATAAGAATGTTCTTGCAAAATACATCCTGAACCAAAAGGGAACCAAATGCTCTCCTCTAGCATGCCACGCCCCTCTGCTGTTTTATTCTGCAGTCAGTAGAAAACAAGAAGAAAAGGAAAATGACCTAAGGAAATGCACAGGTCATTTACCTCAGCAGAGGGTGAAACTGGTTCTTGCTGTTGAGGGCCGCCCACAAAAATGACAGTGTTACCTTGGAGACATCTATCTCCAAGTGTTTTTCTATAGTGATCTGTATCTCCTGCCCCTAAAAGGAAATGTTCTGGGCCAGAGGAATAATCTTGGAAAAAAGGTGAGTCTACGTCACTCACTGACACAGTAAAACTGAACATAAAGATAAGAAACCACGAGGTGGACGAAAGAAAATGGAATTTTCTCTGGTGGAGACTCCCGCCTATGCCTGTCTTGGGCATTTCTTTCTTTCTCCCCTATGCTTCTGTGACTTGTGGCTTCCAACTTCTCTCTCCTGCCCACACATCCACCTCCAAGGAAAACCCTTCCTTCTCCAAGAGGCTGCAGGCTTTTCCTTGCTCCTTCTATTTTTGCTAAGGGGGATGGGGAGGAAGGAGTAACAGACTGTAGCAGTGATTAAGTTATAAAATTTGCAGAGCATTCAATTTGCCTCAGGCTAAATTGAATGGAAATTTTTAAAGGTACTTATTTGAACCCTTGGAATATTTCTTAATGTCTCCTGATCAAGTCCCTACAGTGAACAGGACTAACCTACTGGTCTCAGCTTCCTGAGGCGGCACGGGAGGACACTCAGGTCTGTTTGAGTCTGACCTGAGGACCCTACAAATTATACAGCCCTGGTGGGAAAGCAGTCGACGTCCCTGACCTTCTTGTGTCCAGCCCACATCTGTGCTTAACCCGGCCCTCAGCACCTGTCCCGTTCCAGTGTCGCTGCCTACTTACAGCACAGCTGCCTTCCCCTCCTGACTGTTACCTCTGCATCCCCAGAGCCTACACAGTAGGAGTTGGTGTAAGTGTCCGGAGTAGGATGGTATATAGAATGACTCAACTCAAAGCTTACACCTGGAAAGTTATCAACATTTCTAGTAAGACCAGCACTCTCTGAAATCTGTCAGGAGAGAACACATTTCATTTCCTGTCAACAAATTCTAAACCAGAAACTAACTCATTTTACCTGAACAATAAACCTCAGTTTAGAAAAAATGTGTTCCTGATTAAAATAGCCAGTTGGATTGAACTGATCCACACTGCAAATCGATAAGCCTACGACAGGTGAATGATGCTTGTTTTTGTGATTATCCCTTTTATACAACAGATAACTGAGGTTCAGAGGCAATATTTTTTAAAAGGCACCCAAGTATCATGAAAGTTACTTAAATTCTGTGACCCTATCTGCTTATTTCTAAAATGAAGGTGATAAAAAAAAAACACTAACTTCACAGGGCTGTTGTAAGGTACTCATTTGGAAGGACATAAACCTGCAGGTCGGGAGGTTCCCTAACCTGTGGCCATCATGCCGATGGCACATGACTCCCCGATCCTCCGCCTCCGGCCTCTGCCTCCTCATCAGAAATGGGTCTGAGGCTTTTAGATCTTGAACACAAGTTTGACTGGGAGAAGCTTAGCCTTCAAGCTTAATAAGTTACTCCGTGATCTTCTGGAACCAAAACCGTGTTCTGGAAGGTAGCTGTCAATGCACTCTACACACAACCATCTCCGTAACCTGCTGAAGAGTGCAATCAGAGGTTCTCACCTGTGTCGCCCAAACTTTCTTCAGAAGAAACAGTGGCCGCGAGGTCTCCTTCCTTCCGGAGGGATGTCCCCACGCCAGCTCCTGCTTTCTCGGCTGACACCTGCACGGCCCACTTGCCATCGTGGGCACTCTTCATGGTCACGTCCTGCTCACACTTGGCTGCTGGCAGAGCTACACTGCAGGCAGCCGGAAGGACTGAACAGGAAGGAGCAATTTCTGATCCGTGGCCATGAATACCATCAGGGGTGGTTTCCAAGTGGCCCCCAGGCTCCCGCTGGGCGGGAGGAAGAGAGGGCTGCTGGGCCGCAGGGTCTCTGACACTTGGCATGTCACCAGCTGTTTTAGCACCGGAATCGACTGCTGTCAAAGAGGGAGCGCTGATGGAAGGATCCTCAGCCTTCTGCCCAGGCGTTTGCTCTGGTCTCAGATGAACAGATGAGCCGGCTCTGCTCTCCAAGTCCCTCCCTGCTGAGTGACTGGCTGAGGTGCTGTGCCCTGCTGTCCCCGCCTCAGGGCTGGTATCCCGGCTCTGAACGGAGATGGAGGGTACAGGCTTCTCTTCCAGCTGGCCTCCCTCTGCAGAGAGCTCGCTGACGGGAGCCCTGTCGCATCCTTCCCTGGTGCTCACTTCTTTCCCTCCTGGGAGGGTCCCGGGACACTGACAGTTGTTCTCAGCAAAGAGGCTGGGCATAGGAACCTCACACTTGCTCCCCTTTGCAGCGGACAGGTCACCTCTTCCTTCTGGGTTGCTTGCAGTCAGCTGAATGTCTTCGTGCCTCTCCGGGCCAGTGACAACCAGCGCACACTCGGCCGTGCTGGTGGAGATGAGGGCAGCATCACCCAAGTCCTCCACTCTTGCAACAGCAGGCCGGTCTTCGTCCTGCGGGACAGCACCCCTCATGACTGCTTCCCGTCCTTCAGAGGTACTTGTGGAAATCACCGTGGTGTCGCTGACCTCCTCTGCTGGTGTGGCCGAGGGGTGGACGTCCCCCAGAGGGACAGCGCTGGACACCGGGCCCTCACAGTCTTCCACGGAGCTCGTCGAGATGACGGCACTGCCGTCCTTTTCCTCCACGACCGTGACAGACGGCTCGTGGCCACTTTCCGCGACAGCCCCCGACACGGAGGCCTCGCCTTCTTCCGCTATGCTGGTGGAGATGAGCGCGCATTCGTCCTTCTCCTCCTTGCTGGTGGAGGCGAGGGGCCTCTCGACGTCCGTGGGCGCGCTGGGCATCGGCACCTCGAAGTCGTCGGCGCCGACCAGCACGGGGCCTTGGGCTCCTCCTTCGACGGTGGCGACTGGCTGCTGGCCGCCGGCACACAGGATGGTGGTTGCGCTGGACACGGGCACCTCGAAGTCTTCGCCTAAGCTGGTGGAGATCATGGCACACTCGTCTTTGTCCTCGTGTCGCGCAGCACTGAGCTGGCTCTCATCTCCTGACACGGCACTGGGCATGGGGGCCTCGAATTCCTCCGTGTTCGCCCCGGTGCCGTCCACATCGCCTTCGGCTCTCGGAGCACTCGGGTGGCCTTCCGCGTCCACGCTGGTGCTCAGCTGCACCACGTAATTGTGTGTCGTACTGGTGGAAATCACCAAGCCCGCGCCTTGACTCTGGCCGCCAGCGAAGCAAGTCTGGTCGGTCACGTTGTCACTGGCTGTGGCAGCCACAAGGCCGTCACACTCCTCGTGCTCCACAGAGGTGATGACACCTTCGTCTTCTTTCCCGCCCGGTGACGTGTGGCGAGCTTCATACTCTGGGGCTGCACCGGACACCAGTCCCTCGTAACTGCCCCCCACCAGGCCGGTGGAAATAGTGGTGTCTTCAACTTTGTCTTTCCTGGCGAGCTGACTGTCGCTTTGACCTGAAGCTGCAGTCGTGATGGGACCCTCACGACCTTCGAGCCCTGGAACCCCCTTGCCCTTCCCCGCAGCCGCGCTGGTCACGCTGCTCTCCACGACCCCCTTGGCACTGGAGCCGATCTCCGTGTCTTTCGTCTCCTGGTCTGCACCACTCACGCTGTCGACGCTGCTTTCGTGGGCGCTGCCGGCGGTGGCTCCGGCCTCGGCCGCCCCACGCCCCGTGGCAGTCCCGATCTGACCGTCCCCTTCTTCCGCACTCTCACAGAGGGGCGCCCCTTCCCCTTCTTCCAGCCCTGTGCAGGCCGAGGAGCGCCCGACTTCGTTCCCCCTGCCGGTGCTCGTCACCACGCCCTCCCCCTCGTCGTCCTCCTCCTTGGCGCCCGTGCTGGTGACAATGCCTTCGTCGTCACAGGGACCGGCAGCGACCGCTGGGGCGTCAGTGGCCTCCTTGGCTGCTGTGCTGTCCATCGCACTCTGTCCGTTCTCTTCTGAGCCAGAGCTCAGAGCAAAGCCCTCGCTGCTCTCCTCCGACCCCGCGCAGCTGGCCGGCCCCTCGGCGTCCTCCGTGATCCCGGTGCTGGTGACGGCGCTCTCCCCCTCCGCCTCCGCGCCGTCGTTCGCAGACCCGTCCCCCTCTTGGGTGGCGCTCGTTGCCGGAGGCGTGTCCCGGCCCACCAGGGCCACAGCGGCACCTGTGGCCACACGCGCCTCCTGTGGCCCTGCTCCCGTGACCGGGCAGCTTTCACTGCCCCTGGCGGCTCCTGTGCATGTCACAGTCCCCGCGGTTTCTTTTTTGGGGCCCATCCTCATCACATTTCTCTGGAACCCGTCGACCTCTTCACTGCTTAAGGATCCCTCTCGCATTTCTGTCCCAGCACTTGTTACAGCTCCGTCGCTTTCGCCTTCCCCGGTGAAAGTAACAGTCCCCCCGACTCTTGCCGAGTCTCCCCTGGAAGACCCTTCACACTTTCCTTCAGAGCCGGCGCTGGTCACAGCGTCATCCTTCTCTTCCGCCGCAGCGCTGTTGACCTTGGCGTCCACTGCGGCTGCCTGAGCGGCCACCGGGCCTGCGGCGGGCCCCTCGGACCCCGCCAGAGCACAGTCCGCGCTCTCGCCCTCCTTGGTGCTCGTGAGCGCAGTCTCGCTCCCCGCCAGGCCCTCTGTGACCACAGCCCCTTCCTCTGCCGCGGCGAACACGGTGCACCGGCCGCCGTCCACCCCGGCGCGCAGGGGACCGTTCCCGGGGCGCCCGGTCAGGCCTTCGTCCGCCTCGATCCTCGTGCAAGGCAGCACCACCTCCCCGTCTCGTGACTCTGCAGACGTGGTTGTGGCAACCCCAGCTTTCACGGGGTTCGAGGTAACGTCTTTGTCCCCTTCGGAGCTGGTGGCGAGAGAAGTCTTCTCTGCACTGCCAGAGCCGGCCACCACATCCTCCGTCTTCCGAGCCCTTTGGTGTGACCCGGAGGCGGCAGCGGGACCTCCCACGCTGGTGTCGACCTCACTGTGTTCTTTCCTTCTTTCAACATCGACCGACAGGTGCTCTGCTTCGCCCGGGCCTCTACTGTGCCTAAGCTCAGCAGCTCTGGCATCTTTTCTGGCACTCATGCTTACGACGCGGTCGGCAGCGAGGCTGTCCCTTCTGCCACCGTCTGCAGCTCTACCTGCCGGCTTGGAGGGGGGCTCGGTGCTGAAGTCACGTTCTCTCCCGGCCGTGACCATCAAGCCGCCGTCTTTGTTAACGTTCTCATTCTCCAGAATCGTGTCGGTGGACTTGCTGCCCAGAGGCACACTGCCCTTCCCTTGTTTACTGTGCAGCACGGCGGCCTGGGAAGCTTCTGGAATGTGTCTTCTGCTCTCTAGGCTTGCTTTTGCTGGTGTGTCTGCTGGGGCAAGCGCTCTGCCCTCTTGGCTGTGACTCGTTCTCGGGACTTCTGACTCCCTGAGAGTCACGTTTTGGTGCGAGAGGTCAGGGTGGTCCCCCTGGGAGGGGCCGCCTTCTGAAACCGCTCTTCTGGCAGCTCTCGGAGTTACATCGACGTCACGAGACTGTCTCTGAGGTACAGCAGCCACGGAACTGAAGGACGGCGAGGGGTCTGAACTTGTGGAATGTTCGAGAACAGCGTCTCCTTGAACACCACGCACCTCAGCAGGTCTTGTGTGCTTTGCGTTCTTTTGTGCCCTGTCATTTTCTGACTGGGCACGAGGCAACATCCTGTGACCGGCTTCGGAGCCTGCGCTCGTTTCATGGGGTCCCTGCTGGGGGGGCTCCCTCTCGCCGGGGTGCGGTCTGGGCGCAGCGCTCTGGACGTGCGCCTTCTTGGTCACAGTGCTCTTATGGTCGGCGTGCTTTTCCGAATGACTAGCGACCCCGTTCCCACGACCCGATTTACAGGCCAGAGCAGCGGCTTTTGCATCTACTGTGGAAGTTCTTAGCTCGTCCTTCGGAACTGCGGCCGACGCTTTCTGTTTCGTCACATTGTCAGAGCTGATGTCTTGCTGAGCGCCGTGACTGCTGCTCTCGGGGGGTTTCGATACTGCAGGGACACTGTCAACAGCAGGCTCTGCGTCAGTCTCCATGGGCTCCTGCTCAGGGATCAGGGTGGCATCGCCGCCGCCTCTCTTTGGTCTCTGGAGGGAGGCAGCACCGGGAGTGCCCAGGGCGCTGGCTGATCTCTCTTCTCCTCTGGTTGTTTCTTGGGACGAGCTCCCTCTTCGATTTTCACACAACCTCCGGCTTAACTTCTTCTCCACGCCTGAGCTATTCCCTCTGGCCTTCTCATGATTACTGTCAACTTCTTTACTGTCCTTGTCATCAGCCTTGTTTTCTTCCTTCTTTTTCACATCCTTACTACTGTGCTTTAAGCTTCTGCTTTTGTGCCCGTCGGATAACTTTCTCTCCAGTCTGGAGGACCCTGGCTCTTTCTCAACCTTGTGTTTGTCCTTGGCCAAGAGCAGCTTAGCTCTGTGACTGGAGTCCTTCTGGGCACTGTGGGCTGCAGAAGCCGCACTCTCTAATGCAGGCTCAACACCAGCTTCCTCAGATCTGTCCTCGGCTTTACACTTCCGTTGTTTATCTGGGTCATTTTCTTCTGTGTTCTTTTCCTTATCTGGTTTCGAAGTGGTTGCCTGTTTGGTGATACCTTCTTGCAATTCCATTTCAAGGACTTTCAACGGCTTGCCTTGACTTTTTGATTTAGACCTGAACATAAGTCTCTCGTCTAACACGCTTTTTGTTCTTCGCCTCTCCTTGTGAACGGCCTCTTCTGGCTTTGAACTGCTATCTGCACTAGCCGAGTCCGTGTCACACCTCTCCTCCGAGTAGCTTTCACTTCTTCTCTGCAATGTGAGTCCGTGTTGCTTGGAACCCAGTGCATCTTTCTGAATTTTAGAGTCACCCGATCGCCTCGATCTGTGCTCCACTTTAGTCTTATCGGTCGACAGGTGTCGCTCTTTTTTGTTGTTTTCTTTACGAGCATTCTCATCTGATTTTATGATATATTCAGAAACTGGCTTTCCATCTTTGCCTAAAATGGATAATTTCCTTTCATTCCTGTGTTTACTTTTTCGTTCAGCTTTATCATCCAAAGAAGGCTTGGTTTGTTGGCTTTGCTTTTGAACACTCTCCTCTACTTTTAGGCCCTTCTCGGAGGAGTGAAGCTCGGTCTCGTCGCCTGTTTTATGCACACTGTCCCCTTTGTATTTGTGCTTCGTAGACAACTTGTCTTCGGACAGACTTCTCTCTTTTTCGGGCTTCTCCTTAGAGGACTTCATCTCTTTCTTAGGGAGGTTTTTCACATGCGGTGTTTCAGAATCATCTTTCTTTAGATGCTTTTCAGTCTTGAGTGTGTTTTTCTGTTTCTGGGGTTCTTCTGCACCCATTTCTGAGCGTTCCACTGGCCTTTTCCCATCTCGTGCGTCAGTCTGTTCCTGTGCCCCTTCCACCAAGACAGGGGCAGACGTCCGCCTTTTATGTTCTCTTTCTAGTCGGGATTCACTTTTGTTTTCATCAGCTGAATGCAAACACTCCGAGAGTCTGCGGGTAGGTTTGCCTCCTTCACTTTTCGTATGGACATGCTTCAAATCCTTGGAAGAAGACACCTTTTCCTTTTCACAATGCTGTAAGAAAAGGAAGGTTAAAATATGAGAACCATTAAAGTCGAATTCAACACCTGGGCACATTCCCTGCACTGGGTGCGGTCACGTGCCTGTACCCTACCCAGTCTGCCAGCAGCCCGAGGCTGGGACCTTACCCTCACTCGCTGCGCCAGGACACTGAAGCCCAGCGAGACACACTACACTGATGCCCAGGCTATGCGTGCAGGCATCTTCGCAGAGACTAGTAATTTCTTCAGAGAGCTGTCCTTCTGAACTCTCGATCGCTACAGCCCACAAATGCCCAGTAGTCATTAATAAATATAAAATTATAAATGACAAGTCAGTGCTCTTTTCAGTCCAAAACCAGGATGAAGACAATTTAAAATTTTATACTGAAATAAAGTTTTCCAATATTTTAATTTAAACACCAGAAGTGTTTAGGAAAACCTCATGAATTTAGGCTGCTTGTTGGATGTTCTACTTAGGAAGTTTCAAATGCACACAGTAACTCACAGTAACAGCAACCACACCACATACAATGTACGTGTTATGTTTATACATATAGGGGAGATACTCAGAGATACAGCATCTAACCATTCCCCTCTACCCCACAGTGCTGCACAGCACAGGTTATTAGTGTTAATAACTGGTTGCTGACAAAAGACACTTTCATGAAGACTCACTGACTACTAACAATAATTATTCTTATTCAATGGGCTGAAAGTTTTCAGGAGGACCTCGGTGACTCTGTCAACTTACCATGGCATTTCCTTACAATGTAACACGAGGACTGATGTGCCTCTACTACAGGACCAGGATAGGGCAAGATCTTTAAAAGTACTTTACTATTAAATTCCTCAAAGAAAAAACTAAAAGGGATTTCATCAACCTATTTTTACCGCAAGTTCTAACAAATTAATGTGAATAAAATTCTGAGATCATTTGTCAAAGAAATGTATCAACAGCCCTGGCCGGTTTGGCTCAGCAGTTAGAGCGTCAGCCTGCGGTCCACAGAGACCCGGATTCGGTTCCCGCTAAGGGCATGTACCTCGGTTGCAGTTTGTCCCAGGCCCTGGTTGCGTCGTGTGGGTGGCGGCCACTCGATGTGTCCCTTTCACATCAATGTTTCTCTCTCTTCCTCTCTCTCCTTCCCGCTCTGAGTGAAAAATGGAAAAATGTCCTCGGGTGAGGATTAAAAAAAAACAAAAACAAAAACAAAAAAAAAAAGAAATGTATCAACAAATAAAGTTAAATATTTTTAAAAATGACAATAAAGTATCAGGATATACTTAAATATGTTTCTAATTTTTGAATAAAGAAGTAAAAAATATTTACTGGCTATGAATAAATAATCACTAAATTATTAGTTTCCCCCTTGGAAGTGTTAAGACAATTCAGCTATAGAAAAAAAAATTGGCATTATAAATAAGATTTAAAAACCAATGAAAACAAAAAGTTTATCTCAAAAAAGTAATCCAAAAGAGAAAGAAATGTATTCATTGCCCTTATTTTACTATTTAAAATGATCAAATCTTGGAAACAATCTAAGTGCTCAACTATAAGGAAATGCTTATATTATAGTCAATACACATCATGCAATCATTAAACACAATACTTAGGAAGTTTATAAGGTAACATGAAATAAGTAAGATTGGATGTTAAAGACATTTTGCAAGAATGTATCCACACCACAACATCATGTACGTAACGAAAGAGAATGGAAGAGGTGACCTGTTATGGGCGGAGGCACTTAGTCTCCTCCTTTTCTTCTACTTTACTGTCATTGGCAATGTTGTTATTGCCGGTGTAAGAACTAGGGTGGATGGGGGAGGGGGAGCAGAAAAGTAGCTACTATTTTGATAAATGATCACATGAAACAAGTTGCCAAAATGAGAAGTTCAGACCATAATAGAATGTGAGGGATTTTTTCTTTAACTTGGTAAAGATCAAATTGCATTTCTCAGGGTTATCCCAAAGGACCAAATGGCCTATATCTACACCAAGAGCCTTTAAAATGGATTTATTACCTAAGACTTACCTCACTTGTTTTGGGGGTTTCTTTGGAATCCTCTTCAGCTTGCTGTTTCTTTTTAGAATTCTCGTCAACATTCCTACGTGGGGGAAAAGTCAAACATGAACTGTGAATGAAAGGTAAGAAATCTTCAGGAAAGTTAAAGGAAAAGACAAGCCTGGCTTCCCTTTTGTATAAACACTTGATCCATAGAGACTGGTTATGTTTTCCCTTGAAATCCTAGTCTTAGTCAACAGGGAACACAATCCCAAATATGACATAGACTACTCTTGGTGCTACAGGAAAGTATAATGAAAACAAAAATTCCTGAACCGTTGCTTGAAATGGAGTATTTTATGGGCTATAATTACATTTTGAAGGTCTTGCTGTTTTTCAAGTAAACAGGGTAGTCTTATTAATTCAGATCAGTAGGAATGAGGAATGAGAACATTGATAGTTGATTTCTCTCACAGATTTTGGCAAATTATTGATTTAGGTGTCTTGAAGTCATACATTTACATAATTGCATCTCAATGGTATGCAAATTGCAGCCTATGGCTCACATGACTTCAGAGTCACTCTCTCTTTGGCTTTCTAATTATTATGGAATTGACTACAGTAATGCAATATGAAAAGAATTTTCTGCCGGATGTGGTTTAGGGGAGCAGCACGGGATACTGCCTGAGAAGAGGGCAAAATAAACACAATCACTGGAAGTGCTTACTTCCTGAATCCATCTAGAGGGTCCATAATCTCTCTGAAACTCCAGGGACAACTATTTGTTTATTCATGTGTATTTTTCTGGGGAGAAAGTTGAAAGCTTCCATCAGATTGTCAAAAAGGTCTGGGACCCTCCTCCCCCAGAAATTAAGTATTAAAATGAACATATTGTAGATATTAGTCCAATGAACTGATACTGAAAACCAAGTTCTGAGGTCTCTACCACGCACGCGACAACACATGCTCAGGCCTGGCTCTCCACTGCCACCTTCGATGGCTGGCCCTGAAGCAGGCTGGGAGCATGCGACAATGGACAGTGCCAAGTGAAATACGCACCTCGAGTCTTTTTTTCTTTTTTTGCTTAAGGCTACTTTTTTCTCTAAAACTTTCCGCTCTTTAAGGACTTCTTTAATTCTGGGGGCTTTCGGTTCCAAATTCTTTGTTGATGATTCTTCCAGTTCCATACTGTTTTTGCCTAGGAAGGGAAGAATCAATAAACGATTTCACAACAGTTCTAAATGGAGAAATAATCATTTTGATTATTTCGCAACTGGCTTTAACATAAACTTGTGCTAGAACACAAATATTTTAGATGGAGAAGACTTGTCTTTTATTTCAAAGGCTTATTCAGGGGTGGGCAAAAGTAGGTGAGGAATAACAATACGAATAAATAACACAATAATCAATAATAGCACAAGAATAAACTGTTCCGTGTACTCACGACTGTAAACCTACTTTTGCTCCCCCCTGGATATGTGTGTATTTCTGTATGACACAGGATCAGTGTCCAGAGGAAGTTCCGTTTTTTCAGTGAAATACTGCAGACAAGTATCTTAGTTAACACAAAGCACAGATGAACTCTGCCAGCACAACTTGATCTCACTTGTTAACAATCCATTCTGCAGCGATACTTCACCCCACAGAATAAACTGCTCACATGTGAGTCATGTAAGCTGGGACCTGATAGAATGTTTAATTTAGATACAGCAATATAACTTTAAAGAGTTACTAAACACATCAGACTAAAAAGTAAGAAAATCTTCCACATCTGAAAATATAACACTCTACTGAGATAATTCAGATCACTTTATTTTATAATCATATCTCATAAGTAATACAAGTTTCTAGAAACTAATACAGTACATAAGAGCGTTTAAAATATTAAAGTTAACATCTCCTGTACCTTGACTTTTAGCTTTCGAAGACTTTGTCTTTTCTGCTTTCTGTTTTCGTTTTTCTTCAAGTTTTTCTCTATTAATTTGCCTTCTTAAAAGTCTCTCTTCTTTTTCTTTAGCCTAAAACCACAAAATACTCACAATTACTCTGATTATCAGGCAAAAACACAACACCATGAAAAAACAACGTTTTCCCTTCAAATGTTCTTACGAACTAACGGGCTCTGCGGAAACGCACACATGCCGCGCGATTTGCAAGCCCCCAAAGGAGACAGGTGTGCAATCTGCCTTCACTCTTTCAGAACGTCATGTTTAGGGAAGGGAGAGGCACCACTGAGACGTGGTGGTGTGATACACTGGCCGCCCCAGTTACAAGGACACTGTGGGGGTGCCTCAGCAGCAGTGGGCTCAGCAGGTCCCCATGATTTCTGGATGGCCACTAAAGGAGGCAGTTAAAATGCAGACAAGTGACAGGCTAGTCCCCCAGCAAATGCGACTTGTTGGCTCTACTCTCCGGACCCAGGTTTTGGACATGGAACTTTCTGCTGCTGAATCGTAAAGCCAGAGAGCATCCAGTCGCTGTGCTACTCCCACCGCCCTGTCCTGGCCAGAACGCACTGTCTCAAAGCGCCACGGCTGGAACCGCTGATCAAACAAACTTGTCAAGAGTTAAGCCACTAGTAGCATTGAGTGTACAGCCTTCAAATCATCCTTCTATGTAACAATATTTCCTCATTCTAAGATGTGTAATTTTTCGTATTTTAATGTTTCTGAAATTTTAAGTCACCTTAAAACTGATGCACATTTGCCACAAGGTAGTGGTTCTTTTCTTAAGCTGTTGCTAATTCAATGACACGACTTATAACTAGCAGCATGTTGACATCCAGGAAACATGCGGACTGCGCTTCCCTTGCAGTACGATGTCCACAGCTGTGCACCATCCAGCCTTTCCACACCGGGAAGCCTCCAGGCCGCCACCAGTTTTTCACTATTAAGCGCAAGGACATGGACGCCTGTCATGTGTTTGTCTATTCTGAGTAGTTCAATAACGAGGTCCCTGAAGCCAGAACCTGTATGTTGCTGTTTTGGATGCTTGCCAGCGTCCTGTGCTCAGATTAGTCAAGGGTGTCACCCTGACTTAGCATGTGAAAGTAGTGACAGATCAAATCTGACTTACAATCGACTGTCGCCGCTGTTCAACAGTGAGTTCGTCGTCAGAGTCACTGTAGTACTTTGAGTAAAGGTACGGCTTGTGAATGTAAGCATGCCGCACACTTTTAGCTCTTCCTTCACTGGGGTCACAGGTTTGAGTTTTTGTTTTATTCTGTTTGTTCTTCTCTTCATCTGGAAAAAAGTCAACAGAAAGAGGCATAGCCCTGTTTATCAGCAACAGAATCAACATTACGCTTGATCCAACCAAGCAGCAAAGCAGCTACCAATGTAGCTCAAGTGTATTTGTAGATCCAACAGGGGAAATATCAGCATGTGAAAATTCAGAAATTTAGAACTTTTTAAAGGCTGGAATCCATACCCTAACTTATTCCTTAACAAGCAGCTTCTTACACACACAGGAAGACGGTCAGGAAAAAGGAAAGCTCGTGGGTATCGATGTCTTCGGGACAAAGGCGGACTCTGCGGACTCGCCGCATCAGGACCGCTTCGCCACCTCGCAAAGGCACTCGGGCCGCACCCTGGAGCAGCCTGGGATCAGCGACTGCCTGTGTCGCCCGCCTCTGGAGGACGCGGCAGTCAGTGGTGGTCCACACCAAGCAGGCACCGAAGCCCTGCACCTCGGAGGCTGACAGGCTTCTGTGACACAGCCAGAAGGAGACTCTGAAACGAGGTTTTCCTTTCCTGCCACTTGGTGCTCTCAGAATAGCTGTGTGTTTACCTTTTGAATTCCAAAAATATGAAATCTAGCTCTGTCCAGCAAAAGCTTGAAAAGACCTGAAAAGGCATCTAGAATTACAATTTTAGTTAAGCTAAAAATAGATCTGTACTACTAAAAGCTTCTACTTTTTCCTCTCCAGGTCTTCTATCCAAAGGCCAGGATCAAATTCACAAGTTGCTATGTACAGGCAGTTGCAAATAATATTCACTATTTTTGACTTTTAGAAAAGCCAGACACAGAATTAAATCGTGTACAAAGCAGTGTACGGCGCTGGACGGAAGCCCAGACTCAGGTCAGACTCAGGCACGGGGCTCACTAGCTGCATGACCCTGGACATCTCCCCTCGGTGACTGTTTCTTCACCTGGACCTCCTTCCCAGGTTGTGAGGGCTACAGGAATTATTACACAGAACAGAGCAATCACTTAGCACAGGGCCCAGAACACACTAAGTACTTAATAAGGGTGAACTGAAAAACCACCTGGATAGTAAACAGAGGTCCAGGCTTTGCCCTTGGCTTCTGGGCAGTCATCTCAAAGCCTCTGGAAGACCAGGCATGACAGGAGGGCTTCTGTTCACCTAGGGGTCTCGAGTCAGGCCAAACCATCTATGACTGTGATTTAGGGTGGGGCCTTTGGGTCATGGAGTACCAGCCTGACTTTGAGAGGGGCTAGAGAGAGACCAGACATGTGGGTGGTCAAATGTGACTCTGTGATGGAGCCCCAATCAAAACCAGGACAGCAAGACTTGGGTGTGCTTCCCGGCTGACCATCACCCGTGCATGCTGTCAGACACAAGCTGGGAAAGGTGTGCTGTCCAGAGCTCTCCCGCAAGTCTGGGACTTTCCTGGACTCTGGCCTGTGAGTCTCTTCCCTTGGCTGATTCTTAATCGGTGTCCCTTCGCTGTAATAAACTGCAACCATCAGTTCAACAGATTTCAGTGAGTACTGGAGCCCTTTTAACAAATTATCAAACCTAGGGGCGGTCCCGGAAACTCCGAACTCGCAAATGATGCCAGACGTGAGGGGAATCTTGCGGACAGTAGTACTCCCTCAGATGTCACACACACACACACACGCACACAGCGTCTTCACATACATGATCTCATCTCAATCGTGTAACAATCCTAGGGAATGGAGATAAGAGGTGGAGAACCAAGGCTTGTTGAAGTTTAGTAACTTACCAAGCTTGCTCAGATAGAAAACCTCGAAGCTGGGACTCAGAAACCAATCTTCCAACTACAAAGCCCCATGCTCTGGCCACTATACCACACTGTCTTTCACGATATAGCCATCTGAATACACAAACAATGCTCGGCGAGAAGCTTCACAGAGGCATTATTAAGTAAAATGCTTTACCATCTGACGTAATCTCTCCTTCTTCCATGCTATCAGACATTACAACCTCCTCCTCAGTGTCTTCTTCAAAAGATGAGAGGTCACTGGTATGAACAGAGCTAACTGTAATGTCTGTAAGTCCATCCACATCAGATTCTATCACAGAGTTATCTTTAGGGAGACAATAAAACACAGAACATAAATCATCTCATTATAGAAACATACTCAGCACCCAATTCCTAAATCAAAAATTTTTTTGCCTTAAATACGTTTCAAAGAACTTCAACTTGTAACTAATATATCTATTATGTAATATTTTAAAGATTAGGATATACACTACAAACTAAATTGCTTGAAATAATGTATGACAATAAATTATGAGTTAAATTACAAGGTTTAAAGACTCTCTGTTCATTTACCTTGTTAATTTGAATGCTAGTACAGAAAAGAATGTTTATAGCTCTTTTTTTAGCAAAGGGGATATATGTACCCAGGTTTTTGAAAGATAAGAATCGGAGGCTTTATTTCCCTGGCCAGTATGGCTCAGCTGGTTGAGTGTTATGCCATGCACCGGGAGGTTGCCGGTTCCGTTCCTGGGCAGGGTACATGCCCGAGTTATGGGCTCGATCCCCAGCAGGGGGCGTGCAGGAGACAGCCGATTGATGTTTCTCTTATTGGTGTCTCCCTACCTCACTCCCTCTAAAAATAAAAGATATGGTTTAAAAAAAAATAATAATCAAACTTATTAAACTTTGAAGACAAATCTGCTATCCCCTAGTGGACACTCTGCGTGCTTTAAACGGCTGTAGATTTTTGCAAGTTTGTACCTTCTTTTGTCCCTTCCATGGCTTTAGCTTTATTACTGTTCTTTTCTGAAGGAACTTTTGTACACTCTGTTTCTTTATCCTTTGCTTGTTTTTCATCTTTGACCTTTTGTATATCTTCACTCCGTTTTGAGTGATCAAATTTCTTTTCAGTCTTTTCCTTCTTTTCCTTCTTTCTTTCTCCTTTTTCGTTGCTGTCTGGTTTCTTTTCCCCTTTGTCTGCTGATTTATTTTTTTGGTCGCTGCTTTTCTGTGGAGCATCTTTACCGAGCAGAACTGAACTACCACTCTCTTTTGTGTGATTTTTAACTTCTTCAACCGGACAAGGGAGCTCTGTCCATTCCTCAGACCTGGGGGCCGCTTCCTGTCCGCCGCCCCCGGAGTCCGGCACAGCCTTGTCTTTCTCGGTGGTGTCGTCTGAGGGCCTGTCCTTCTCAGCGCTCGCGTCAGCACTCGGCTGGGCCGGGAGCTTTCTGCACCCTCGCTCGCTGGTCTTGGCGTTCGACGCCTCTGTGGAAGCCCTGGCGGCGGTAGCTCCTTGGTTAAGAGAAGTGATGGTTTCCAAGATGGACATGGCATCGTTGGCCACACTGGCACTGGGCCCAGCAGCAGGGGCACCTTGAGGGAGACACAAGTTTCAGGGTAAATTTACGAAGAAGGTCATGCCCGACTGAATCAAGGCCACACACCACTGTCACCTACACGTGATGCGTGTGCCGTGTAGAGCCACACGCCTTCAGACTCCCAGGCACTGTGCGGGTGCCAAGCACACGACTTCTCTGCCACAGCAGGTCAGAAAGGTACCACGCAAACCAGACAACAGTCTCGTCTCGGAAAAACTACGTCTTCTCTATTTAAATTATTCTCTGTTGAAACATACACACACCAATGTGTCATTAAAATGCCTATTATTTTGTATTAAGGTAAAAAAATGCTATGCCAGGTGAGGACTTTGGGTGATACTGGAAATAACACAATTTCACTAGTGTGGCCGAGTAGAGAAATGGTTTAAAGCCCAAATATCCCTGACCCGACACTCAGTCCAAGAGGAAACGCAAGGCACCTTGTGTGCCGACGGCGGAGTCCGGCCTCTCCTCCTCGGGCGCGGCGCTGCCCCCTGCTTCCTCCCGGTGATTCAGCGTGGCCAAAAACTCATGCACAGCTTTCTCCACCTGAGGTCTGAACGTGTGGTTGATCTTTGGATCCACAACCTGAGAAATAATTCGGTCGATACCAGACTCCAACATTCCTGATCTGAAACACAGGATAATTTAGAGTGGTTAAAAAAAGAATATATATAGATGTCATAATAATTGCATTAATTACTGTTAGGTAAGACTGTCTCTCTCCAACCTTAAATTTCCCCAATCCATTCATCTGGGTAGAGAAAGAACAGGTGATGATACGTTTCCCACAACAGTGGCATCTGTCACCGCTGCGTCACCAGAACTACTATAGCAGACCAAACCAAAACCAAAGACAACACTCGGAGAACTAGACACAGCCCACTATCGAGAGCCCAGGCTTACAGATGATGCTTATCGTACTCTAATCCTGCCCATGGAATAGAGGAATAAATAATTACTAAAGCTGCGTTCTGAGTATAAAATAAATCAACGGACTCTGCAGCTTTATCTTTAAACAGAAAAATGTAAGCCTTTTATAAGTTTTAGGCCTCCAGGAAAACTGAAGAATACGCACAAAGTGTAATTTTATCAAACTTTTTTAAAAAAAACAACCCATTTTAGAACAAAAATAAAAAAGATTTCTGGCTTTCTTTTATTATCTTCTTGCTATGAAAAACTGGATGATTTATTCATTCAACAAGTATGTTATGAGCGTCTTCTGCACTAACGGGCACCATGCTGCCCACTGACTGCTGCCAACCAGCCCTGGTCCCTGTTCCAGTGAAGAGACAGACGCAGGCATGTGCGATGCAGGAGGACAGGTGCCAGGATACACACATGGCAGGGAAAGGGTGGGCATGGAATCATCAGATAGATCTGAGATAACTGGGGACGCCTCACACAGGAGAAGACATTTGAGCTGAGTCTTGATTTCCTTAGAAGAGAAGAAAACTTAAAAAAACATCACAGCCCGGCTGGGGTGGCTCAGTGGTTGAGCATCGACCCAGGCACCAAGAGGTCGCTTTTGATTCCCGGTCAGGGCACATGCCCAGGTTGCGGGCCCATCCCAAGTGGGGGGAATGCAGGAGGTGGCCAGTCGATGTTCTCTCTCATCGATGTTTCTATCTCTCTCTCCCTCTCCTTTCCTCTCTCTCTAAAATCAATAAAGAAAAATAATATCACAGACAAGCAGCAGATGAGCAAACAGGGCCACTGAGTCCTGAGTGCGCTGAAAGTCACAAGGGTGTGTGAGCAAAATTAGAGGATGTGAATTAATTTTAAGAAACACACTTAAACCTTGTTTCTTCCTGAAAAAAGAGCCTGAGAAGTTCCTTGATAGTGTTAGACGAGTGGGTGGGCACTAGTCCTTCCCAGCCTCTAGCCCTTAGGCTCTCTCTGCAGAATGCATGGAGTCTATCCTTGAAATTCAAATGCAGTTTTTGAGTGCAGCTCTGTCTGGAGTGGAGAATGAATTTGATTTCCATTTCCTGAGGCACCTTGCAGCCTTGTGATACCATGCTACTTATGTGGGCCACAGAGAAAAATGAGTCAACCCTGCACAAAGTAGGTAACCTGCTTTTTAAAGTTCTAAGATAAAAAAAATGCAAATCCTGCAAACACTGCTATATCTTAGAGGTGTCTTTGAAATGTAGCAGGTGGGAAAGAAACAAGGACAAGCAATCTTAAAAATGTTTTGAGCCCTGGCCGGTATGGCTTAGTTGGTTGGGTGTCATCCATGCACCAAAAGGTTGCTGGTTTGATTCTCAGTCAGGGCGCGTGTCCGGGTTGGGGGTCAGATCCCCAGTGGGGGGCATGCAGGACACAGCTGTGCTCTCACATTGATGTGTCCTCTCTCCCTCTCCCTTCCTCTCTTCAAAAATCAATAAAAAAATCTTTAAAAAAATGTTTTGATTTAAGGCACAAGTATAAAGGCATAAAAAGAAGGCCATGCACCCCAAATCACTGCTTCAGTCTGTGTTTGCCTATATTCTGGCCCGTCGTCAACTGTAGCCCACTCCCACGGTGGTCAGCTCGAATGGTAAACCTGGAGGCGAGTGCGAATGACCCCACGCTCTCAGTGGGCTCACTCTGGTGGGGGCACGGCCACAGAGAGCTGCCTCATCGCAGAGAAGCCACACTCTAGGGTCAAAGCCAAAGCCCAAGTGCTAGCAGTTGGCACTGTCCTGGTTAAAGCTATTTCCTTGTCTTCCTTCCAAATCCTGTTCAGTTAAGATGATTCTTTCTGAGCCATCCAGCATTTTTAGATTTTGCTATACCAATGAACACATAGATAAAACACGATTTCCCTTGTACTGAACCTGCAGGTTAGTTATGAAGCTGAACCACTGAGACTGCTGATATCAGACTGCTGCTGTCCTCCAAAAATGGCACCTGTGGAAGGTCCCATGAACAGGCAGCTGAGTGCTTCTTGAAGTGTAGGGTGTCCCCAAAAATGTACCGACAAAAAAAGCGTAATGACAAAGCCAGTGTTTTTTTAAATACACTTCATTTTCAAAGTGTAATAGAATCTACAGACATCCTGTATACATTTTTTGGGAACACCCATATATGGAAAACAGTTTGAAATCGTATTTATGGGGCCAACACATCCCTATACCGTAGTTAAACACAACTGAACCGTCTCTTTAAGGAAGCGTTAAAATGCTAGCAGTAACATTAACCTTCATTCATAGAATTTAAATAAGAGAACAGTTCATTAAAAATAAACACAGCTACAAGAAAATTTACTTAGGTGCCTGGAGGAGCACTGACTCACGTACCCAGAAACAGCTGCTCCCCCTCGTCCCCAGGCAGTGTCCCAGCACTACCCTCAGTCCCCGGCGCCCCTCCCTGACGCACACCGACCCCTCACCAAGCCCCGCCTCTGAAAACAGTGCCTCACGTTGGTACAAGAGCTCTAAGTGCCTGGTCTCACAGGGCCAGACTGAGTTTAGTTCCCGTAAAAGAACAGGATAAATGGCTGCTTCCCTACTTTACAGGTTTTGTATGCTAAGGAGTAAATGCAATTCCAGGAAATTGGCCTTCCATGGAGCCTCTCAACCTGAAGCAAAAGAAAGAAAAGAACTATGCTTTGAAAGCAATGCCATCATTTGTGAAAGGGAAGCAGCTATGGGAAGGCACTCAGTAATCAATCAGCAAGGCTGTACGTGTGGGTGTGGGGGGGCTGAGGGGGGCTGGGGGAGGCGGACGACACAGCAGGTAAGCCTGCCTCTCTCCCCACCGTGTCCCCTCCTGTTTTGGTATTGTGCTCCTACAGGCCTGGAAATGAGTCCACTTCCAGGCCTGCCATCCCCTTCCAGGAAAGGCCTTGACTTCCCCTGCAGGTATCAGGATGCAGCCTCTAATGGCATCTTTTGATCCCACCTGGACCCTTTACAGGGTCCTCACACACTCTTTAAAACGCAGACAGTGCACTTATTGTTCCATTTTCCTCTCGCCTTCCTCAGCAGGAGCCAAGAGCCGGGCTCCTGGGTTCTAGAATTACCCGTGGCGAAGTGGGTCTTTGATCAGAGTGTGGGCCGTGTTTGCGGGGCTTCCTGTGGGTCACAGCTGTCAGTGGAGTACACACTGGGTGGGCTTGCAAGGGTGCCACGGACAAGAGGGAACTCAGAGGGCACAGGCACACCATCCATCTAGCTGTTGTAAAGCTGCGCTTCACTCTCCAGGCGCACGTGAGCGCAAACATTTGCGGAGGCAGAAGAACAGGCGCTCCTTAGACAACTCCGTCACCTTTCGGGGGGTGAGACCGGGACAGAACGTCCGAATCTTGTCTTGGCAGATGTTTATATTGAAGAACAGGATAATACTGTAAATCTGCTTTTGGGGGAATAATTATGATTTTTTGGTCCTTCTAAATATTCGATTCTTCTCATTCTCATTATGTTCAACCAAAAATGGCCCTGACAGGTCCAAATCAAATGCACTTTTCTTTTTGTGGCAACACTGTCACTAAAAATCACAAAATATGAGAGACGGGGGGGGGCGGGGGGGGGCGCGTAGGCTGTATCAGGAGATAGAAGACACAACCTCGAAAATCAGGGAAAAATATTTTAATTTCAGTGATCTTTATTTATAAAAGAATAACAAAGCCTACTCTTTTTAGGGCCAAGAAAATGGTTGTGAATGTGAACTGTAGAGAATATTCCAGAATCTACAACCCACTAATATTACATCTAGGACTTTTCTGTAAGCCACACTGTCACTCTCTTCCTTCAGCATTTCCAAAAAGCTACCGAGAAATCGACGGTTAAAACCGGTGGGGAGATGCGAGGTGACAGAGCCTTTGTCAAATCGTACTGCGTCATGAAGGCACCACAGTGCACCAAATTCCACAAGGTGAACACACTTCTGCACGACACCTCTGCTCCCAGGCAAAGGAGGCGGTGGCACCCGAGCCGCCTAGGGACTCCGTAATCCTGAGACTTACTTGAGTACTTGTTGTCTAATATTGTTTCTCAGCTGGTTCTTATTGAGGTGGGGACTCCATGTGTGAGTTGCTAAGTGGTTTGCAACAAAGTTGTCAACTCGCTGTCTCAGATTCTGATAAGCAGGCTAGAAAGGAAAAAAAAAAGACACAAATGTTGAAAATCTCCAATGTTATACAATAACAATATTGACAGTTTCAGGATTAGAGTATCTTTAACAGTGCCCACATTTCTTAGATTAGACTAGCAACATGGCAACAAAGTTTTACAGCTTACTTTGGAGGTATAAGGAATACAAAGACAGACTTCTCATTTGTAGACAAGGGACAAGAAAATAAGACACCAATAAGTGTTACAGTGATGCTTTGGAGCAGAGAAGAGAAGAGAAGAAGTAAGCCTTTGCTGAGAATGTGGCATTTGAGCTGAACCTTCAAGATACACAATGGGAATTCGAAGGCCACCCTGTAGGCACAGCCAACAATATCAGCAAAGAGCAAATGGATAAGAAAATGCCACGCTGAGAGCATTTGGCCCCCCACCCCAATTGTTAAATCCAATCTGGTTGGAGAAGGGAATACAAAGAAGCAGAGAAGCGAGGTTGGAGACAGCTTGGAGCCAGGGGCTGGAAGGATTTGGGTACCTGTGGTGTAAGAAGTTTGGAATTACAGGGTAGGGGATGGTAAGCCACTGCACATATGAGCAGAGTGATATGAACTGCGTGAGCTTTCTGATGATCAATCTTCCTACAGTGAAAGAGTACACAGACAAAATATACCTAGGCAAGTATGCAACAGAGTGATGAAGGTCTGTACTGGGTGGTGGAAATGGGCTGAAAGGTACGGATCCAAGAGAAATTATGGAGGGACAACTACTGGAACTAGGCATTACATTTGATGTTAGGCAGTAGCTCTCAACTGGGAGTGATTACCTTCCACCCCCACCCTAGGAGACATTTGGTAATGTCTGGAGAAAAATGGGGGTGCCACTACTGGCATCTCCTGGGCAGGGATACTGTCGAACATGCTACAATGCACAGGGGAACCCCTCACAACAAAGAACCATCCAGCCCCAATGTCAACACTGCTGAGGCCCACAACCCCTGGTATAAGGGGAGCAGGAGAGAGGACACATTTTATGTCATCTCTACTTAAAAGGCTCCTGCCTAGAAGGAATGTCTGGCCACTCAAGCAGGACTACACACTCCGTTCCTAGATGTCCCCACCACTCACATTCTTCCTATCTTTCTTTTAAGTGGCTTTAATGCAGATAGATTTGCGTGTCTCCAAATGATTTTAAATAAAACTGCGCTGCCATCTGCTCCCTTACCCTTCAAAGCTCAAACTCCAGCAGCTAGTTCTCCTGCCTTTGATCTGCACCTACCATTCCCTCTACTTGTCCATTTGGCAAACTTCTCACCTTCAGAGCTCACGCTAATCTGTGCAGTCATCCAGCCCAAGGGCAGGCTCCCATGGGCCGTTTCCGGCTTCCTCCGGTCTCCTGCACATACCACCATCCCAGCAGTTCTGGAATGGCCTTGTACTTGGGGAAGGGGGAAATATTTACCTGCCCACTGAGATAAAAGCCTGTTCCTTCCACTCCCTTAATCTTTGTTTTCAGAAAACGTATCGCACTGCTTGGCAGATGAGCAATTAAACGTAGCTGTTAGATGAGATGACTGGGTAACCATCCCCAACAGGGATGATGAAGGTTTCATCCCCTGGTGATGCCCTTGTATCCCTTCCAGTTTCCAGACTTTTGCTAAGTCCTATTTTCAGTCCTACAAGAAACAGTCTCATAATTATTTCTCATGTTCCTCTCCATTCATCCAAAATCAATGTGAACTAAAAAACTAATCCTTTCTCTCGATCATTTTCGGCAAAACTGTGAAACATAATTCATCTTGCCAGTATTCCCAAATCTCAGAAATATTACGCTAAAAACATCACAAAGCATTTAGCCCTCTAGTTGCTCCATAACAAGCTCAAATTTGAACAACAGATAATTCTCCTTGTTTCTAGTTCCCCTTCCAGTATAAAGCCTGGTGACTGGAGACAGAAGGATTCTATGATTCTTCGGGGAATCTTCCTCTGCCTCTTCTCCCCTTTCCAGAGGGCTCTGGTCAAAAGCCTTGGGGTCATCCTTGACTCCTCCCCCTCTCTTCCACCACAAATCTAACCAGCAGCAAATTCTTTGGGCATGAGCATCACAATACACCCAGAATCCGACCATTTCCTACCCCTTTCCTGCTACCATGTGGGTGTGGTCCCATGCATTCTCATCTTCTGTCTGGATTACAGTAACTTAACTTCCTGTGTCTGCTCTTGCCCACCTTAAGTCTATTTTCCATAGAGCGGCTAATACAAATGTTTTAAAATGAGGGCAACTGTATAATTTATTGTCTAAATTAGATCATGGCTAAACATGAAGAAGACACTGTTAACAATTACACATGGCCAACCCACCTAAAATGGAAGTGACAGGATGTCCTTCTTCTGCACCTCACCTGCCGGTGGCTTCTCAGCTCAGGTGAAAGGCAAACCCTTCCAGCGGCCGCCCAGGCCAGCCGGAGCACTGCTCCCTCACCTCTGGTCCCTTCTCCCCAGCAGTTTCTGCCTGCGGCTTTCTGCACATGCTGAGCCTCTACCGGAACACCCAGCCCCAGATAGCTGTGCGACCCTCCAGCTCCTTCTGGGTCAGATGGCTACTAGAAATCTCCCCTGCAGATCCTCAAAACAAATCAGTCCTTTCCAGCCTCGTCCTGCTCTATTTCTTCCATAGACCCTATCACACACTATTTATTTACTGTCTGTTCTTCTCTGTTCGGAGTAATAAGCTCCATAACAGCAGGGACTTTTGTTCACGGCTGTATCCCTGGCATCTAAAACTGTGCCTGGTACACCGTGAATATCTGTTGGGTGAATACATTTCTATACTTCGGTCTTTGATATTCCTTTCAAATCTGAGGAAAAAAGTTAGAGGATAATCACAGTGACCAGGAGTCATTTACACCTGAGAAAGTATCCACAAATCCGCCTTTATTACCTGGGGAGGGAGGTGCTATATTTGCTGCTTGGGAGCTCCCTGCCTGGGACTGAACGATGGACACTGACTTGCCCTCCTCACACTCTTCAGTCGCTAATCAGTGCACAGGCATCAGAACGGCTCTGTAACCCGCTAGCTTGTTCCAGGGATCTGGGGGTCTGCAGCAGAGGAGCCTCAGCATTAGCGGTTCCTCGAGCTGCCCAAGGTCCTAATTCTTCGGGTGGGAAGGCTGATTTGGTCTGCTGTCCTCAGATCTCTCTCTCCTGGTTGGACCATCTGTGACCCAGGCCAGTTTGAGGGGTTCTAGGGTCTTCTGGAGTGGCCGCAGACTCTGGAACTTCTCACCTTGCTTTAAACACAATGGGCCGGATGATAGCGGTGCTCTTGGAGAGCACCTGGAAGGTGTCAAACATCTTGATCTTGACTATGCATGTGACTGACAATCCAGGTACTGCTAGCAAACCTACCTGCTCCATACCCAGGTCGGAGCTCGGCAAAGTCAGTCTCTGGGGTTCAATTATCAAAAGCACCAGACCAAAAGTGGTCTAAACTCTAAGGTGTTCTTAACAGATGAGACCCAAGGATCCCATAAAAGTGATGCTCCATTGCATGAGTAGGGAATCTTATTTCTACTTTGGCCCACTTGCCACACGAATAGAAATGTTAAGCTCATATAAAAGAAAATTTTGGTTTTTTTTATGTTTTTTGAGACTTTCAAACTTACTCTTTTTGAGGGAGAGGGAGAACACAAGACTGTACTCTATTGGAAGGGGGGTATCATTTCAGTTCCACTCTTTTCTAGCATCAAACATGAAAACAGGGGACATTATTCTGTGGTCCCTGAATACTCCCTGAAACTACGTATTAGGTTGAGCCACATGAAATTGCCAACAGTCAAACATTTCTCAATGGTAAAAACAGCATTTTAATCTGTATGTGTGCATTTTTCTTGGGAGAAGGTCCTACCTTTCATTAGACTATCTAAGAAACTGTGCTTCCCTCCTTCCCCCCAAGAAAGGTTTTAAGGATTCACTTTGGGAGAATCTGGCAGAAATACTACAATGAGCAATAAGATTTAGTGGGGATAAGGTAAAGAAAAAGCTGAGCCTTATATGTGGTACCCATCAGTATATTTAAATTTTCAATCTGCATGCACAATAACAGATCTGTAAGTTTCTGAGAACTGCAAAGTGAGATCTCTACTTGCAGGATACAAACAACCAGCTTTATCTGAGTAACATGTACCTGGCTATGTCTATCTAATCTCCCATTAAACAACAACAATAAAAAGGCAATATGCATGACTTTCAAAAAGGTGGCTGTGCACAGTCCCTAAAACAAAGTGAGAAAACTATACACTTCCCGCAGAGATACACATCCCAAGTAAACTGAATTCCCTGAGGTGCAAAAGCTCCAGTGCCTGAGAAGGCACATTGTACTCTGCTTTACGTTATCTGGACCCGATTAGAAAAGATGTCCCTAAGGCTTAACCAAGGTTTTCCCAGAGGACTGTCTACAGTTCACCGAAAAAGCTGGTGAACATGACGGTGCAGGGAAGAATTAATTTGTGGACACTGCAAACACCCCTTTCTCAAAATATGGGGCCCCTCACAACAGCTGAACATGCTATGAAAAAACCCTCATTCCATTAAAACTATCTGATGGACCCAACCAGATCTAAGCCAAAACCAACCAACCCACCAACCACCCCTTGCCCCCAACACAAACAAACAAACAAAAAAAACCCAAAAAAACAAAAAGCTCAAAAAAACAAAAAAAGCAACAATTTTCCAAATGTTCCCAACTGGAGCCTACTGCTTCACGTGCTTCCAGAATTCCAGATGGTTCTCCATCCATCTCACCAAGATCGCTCCTTCTTGGTGTTCTCTGCTCATTCTCTGCCCAACCAGGTGCGATCACCTGGTTCCTGCCCCCCCCTCCCCCCGCTCTGACACTGGGTACTAAGTCCCTCACCCTTTGAGGTCCACAACTCTTTTTGTACAGGGACCCGCTCTGCAGACCTTTCCCCTCCTCCTCACTCTCCCGAACTCTTCTTTCCTGCCATTCTGCCACTTCATTACCTGCTGGCACCTCTCTTCCATCACTTCCCCACCGAATGGCTCGGCTCTCCCTGCCCCCGCCCGCCTCTCCACCCCCAACCCCCTTCTCACTTTGGAGAAGTGACTGAGCCTAAGTTACCCAAATCAGTCAGTCACTGGTAGACACTCAAGTCCCGAGCTCCCCAACCCACCTTGTCGCTGTCCCGCTCTACCTCCTCACCTTTGCACCCCACCCCATCCCATCCAGCAATACACACTACAAATAATTTAATACGATCATCACTTAACTTCTCCAAAGGACAAAGACATGACCCTTCCCGCCCAGAATCCTTCCACAGAGGAGCATGGATACAAAGCAAACCGCGAAAAAAAATGAACCAGATATGAAAGCGCTGGTTAGCGTCTCCAAACGCGTCTGCATACGTGTCTCCGGGAGAACAGTGACAGAGTCTTGCTCCCCGGGATGCTCCCAGAGCCTGTGCAGCGCAGTAGGGGCTTGGCCCCCGCCGGCTGAACCGCGGCACCGGCGGGCGAATGAATGGACGCCCGGCGCGGCGCTCGGTGCCCGGCCAGCGCGGCAGCGGGAGGGGAAGCGGCCGCCAGGAACTCGGGCAGCGCGCCGAGAGGGGCCCCGGCTGGGGGAGCAGAGGCGCAGCCGGTCCACGAACGCGGGACACCGCCCGGGCAGGCGGCCCTGGGGACCCTCCCCTTGCCCCGCACTCCGCGCGCCCCGAACCTTCGTGTCCACGTCGGCCAGGCAGTCCCGGCGGAACTGGTCGAAGAGCCCCTGGCTCTTGAGATGGTTCACGATCATGGCCACGAGCTGCGGGTCCCCCGCGCCGGCCCCCGCGCCGCCCGTCCCGCCCGCGCCCGGGCCAGTCCCGGGGCCCGGCGGCGGCGGCGGCGGCTGCGGCTGCGGCGGGGGAGGCGGCGGCGCGGGAGGCGGCGGCTGCGGCTGCGGGTTGGTGGCCATGGCGGCCGGGCCGGGAGGGCGCGGGCGCGGGCCCGGGCGGGCGGGCGGGCTGCGCTCCTGAGAGGCGGCGGCTGCACCGGTCCCGCCGCCTGAGGGAGGCCAACGGGATGTTGTTACGGAACCAGCGGATCCAGAGTAACCCCGGAAGTGAAAGGGAACCCGGGGAAGGCAGGAATAGGCGGTGACAATAGCAACGAAAGTGCGGCGACGGAAGCCGCGAGCGGCCAGTTCCGCCCGCCACCCGCGCAGGCGCGCTCGCGGGGCTGGGCTGCGACCGAAGCGGCGGCGGGAAGGCGGAGTGGGCCGCGGGGGCCAGGCGGGGGGCGGGGGTTGGAGTCTGCAGCGGGCGCGCGCTCGGCCCGCGCGACCCCCGGGCCCCGGGCCGACGGCGCGCCTGCTCCGAGCCGGCCCGCGCGGGGGAGCGAGACGCTGGCCCGGCGCCTCGGGGCATTTAGGCCTGACGGTTGGGCTCCTGTTTCTCCGCGCAGTCGCGATCCATACACATTTATAACGCGAACCGTACGTGCAACTGCCTGTTCTAACTTTCCCCAAACCTCGTTCTCCTGATCCAGGCCAGTTTTCCTGCAAGCAGGTAGCTCCAGGGGCCTCCTGTTTCGCCCCCACACATCCCCTTTTTCCTCGGGCCCATCCCTTATTCCAGTGTGCCATCCAGCTAGAACGATCCCTCCACCGTCTTCCTGCCCGTGAAGACGAACCCACAGGCTGTTAGTTTCAAGGGTTTTGCTTTTGATGATTATGATCATAGCAATTCATGCTTGCATAGCATGCATTGTGTGCCAGGGTTGGCGTCGAGAGCTTTTACGTGCATTATCTCGCTCAATCTTTGCAACACTGCTAGGTCCTACCACTACCCTCAAATTCACAAAGCAGGGAACAGAAGCCCAGGGCGATTAACTAAGTGGGCCGAAGGTTCCAGAGAAAGCAACTGGCGTGATTCTGGACTGTTATCTTAAAAATATTAGCACATGATCCAAGCAAAATAAAGATGACCGATTTTCATAACTATTAAGTAGAATGTACAATTTATTGGAAAATGCATCTTGGTGAAATGGCTAGTATTGTTTTAGAGTCCTTACGTCTGTGGATGAATATATCATTGGGAGAACGAGAAGAGTTGCACATCAATTTATTCCTATTTCTAGTTTATATGGCCGTATGCCCTCAGAAACCCCGTTTATATAAACAAGTACTGTACCCGGGAACAGAGTTTCATTGTAGCAATGTCACTGAATTCTTCATCTCAAAAAATTATATTTGATGATCAGAGAGCTGACTATTCAATTAGGCCCTCCAATTTTGTTGAAAGCAAAGAATTGAAAACCCTCTGACTTGCCAAAGGATTTGTTTACCTTGCCTTTATTCTTTCATGGTCCCGCCCCAGTATTTGGGAAATATGCCAAATAGATGTTACCAAGACATCACATGACTTTGAAGCAGACCCCCCCCCTTTTTTTTCTTTTCCCTAATGGGATGTACCATATTTAAACCGATATACTCAAATTTGGGGGAGGAACCTAAAGTTTTGTATAAACTGCTTTTTGTTGTTATTGTTAAGTGGTTCAGTTTTGTTTTTGCCAAAACTTGGCAGCTAATGATACAGCCCATTCAAGGTGAAACTGTCAAGTATGAAGAATGTTTGTCATATAACCTAATTAACATCAAACTAGCCAAATTGGATTTACTTTCCCTCAGAAACAGTTTGACTTAATTGCTTCAATTCCAGTTAAGTGTCATGCATTTTGAGGAGTATAATGAAGACTGCAGAGAGACTGTCATGAGATGAATTTTAAAAGATTTATTACTAAAAGCAGTCAAGATTAAAATGGTATAAAATATAATTATCAATTTTCAAAATTAGTTATGAAAACAAGATGGGAATATGACATATTTTCCCCTATACCTAATTACTAACAATGCAGGATAATATGCTAAATGTATATGTTATTTTTTAAGTATGTAGTATAATAAAAGGCATGGTATTTTTTCCCATGTATATACATGTATCAGATTTATTTGGATTTTTTGGAATAACTAAGAATCACCCATAAACAGTAAAACTCCACAAATTTGATTGGGCATAATGATGAAACTTAAAAAAAATAATGAACAACAAGGTATTTGCTGCTAAAAATGAATTCGTTCCATGACTGCAAAATAATTTTATGTTTGTGAACAGCATATAGAAAATCTTAAGTATTTTAAAATTTTAATAAGGTAAGAATTGGTTATAACTTAAATACATAATTCCCAATTGATTTGATAAAATGTATGTTAACTACCTTATCAAATAACACACTGAGTAGATTAAATGACATAATACCTGTATTCATGAGTTCAAGTTGCACTGGACACACACACACACACTGGATATAGTGTAACGTGAACAATTTTGTAGCCTTAGAAAACATTCTAGTTACATTGAAAAGAATCAGGGTCACTGATCTGTACTGCTTTGACTGTTCAAAGATGCTTTCCTTTCCACTTGAATACAGGTCCTGGGGATGAGTGTTGTGAATACCTGGAGGAAAACAATACACATTTACATCGTTTTTTAAAAAGTAGTTCAAACAGTCATCATTTCCTACCAGTGACATCTTTGCTTGTTCTCTTCTCTGACTGTTTCTATAGAACAAGTAATATGATATTTGACAATAATGATGATATAAAAGAGGCAAAGTCTTCAAAAACAAATGCCATTCCTCCCCTGCCCTACTACATGTATATCTGAATTCAGATCATCTTGACAAGGATCCAATATACTCTTCCTGAACACGATTAAGCTCTTATTTCATTTCCTAAGTCTGCTGCGCCAGGTGACAGTTAACCAAACTTTGCAAACACTCAGGGAATCATGGAACAGTGGTGGGTTCCATTATTATGGCAGTCACTGTGGTATCCATATGTATCCCTGGGCACCGACTCCTTCCAGCCAAATATCTAACTCCCGTGATTTCTTCTCTTCTATAGTCCAGCCTGCCCCACCTCTATCCAATCCAAACCCTGTTTCCTGGGGCCACTCCAGTGAAAGTCAAACACTGGTTTACACTATGATGATCTAACCCCAGGGAACCGGTCTTCATATTAGGCTGTTATTTATTTCCTTTTTCTTATATCCCTAGGGCATCCCCACTCCAAACACCGCATCAGCAAAAGACTGAGGTGCATTATTTCCTAAATGACTCTTTACCAACTCAAAGCCCAGTTCACTTTTTCCATAACAACAGAACACATTCTTAGGTGGGGTTCAAGCCATTCACAGTTTTTGTAAGAGGAGTGGGGAGAGGAAAAGATGTATTATTTGCCTTGGCGAAGCAAACTCCGTGGTCTAGCTATTTCTCTATTTCTATTGCAGAATAAAATAGCTGAATAAAGTCATAACAATTATAGTTATATTTAGTTCATTTAGTCTCATAATCAATTTTTGTTTCTCCTGATTTTTCTTGCCAGTATTTCTGTAGATCCAGATACTCTACAGAGTTCTAGTAATTTTTAACCAGTTAAAGAGGATGATCTGAAAAATCATTCTGAGATGTGTAATTTAAAATAAGCCAGAGTCCTTTCCATGGATCTCTCAGAAGATGTAACATTTTTGCAAATGTATTTTAACAAAACAGTGACTGTCTCTAAGTGACAAAAAGAAATTTAAGATGACAGAGTTGTAGATTTGATTACAATGCAATTGATACAGAATCCTGTCCTTTGTGCAAAACACAACATTGCAGAATAACAATTAGAGTTATGGATGAAAGTATATCAGAATTTGTAGACTTCTGGAGATTTTTAAATAATCTCTAGAACATTTATTTTGATAATATGTGTATACAAGTAGAATATAGTTATTATTTCCTTGTTTGACAAGACTTTCTGTGTATTTTAAGCATATTAAATAGGCCTAATTAGTTTAAAATCTTTTCTTCATAAGGAGAGAGAACAAATCCTTGAGATATTCCAGGGGCCTATTGGAATGACCTAAAGACAATTCTAGGTAAAAAAAAGTCTCTTGAAATTCAAACCCTGGGAAGGTTGGCAAACATATTTGATCAAAAGATCATATATCATTATGAAATAATATTAAATTATTGATTCATCCAAAGTGACAACAAAAGATATTAAACACAAGCATAGGTTAGCAACACTTCAATTCCTAGGACTAAGAAGATGGGTATTTAAGTAATCAAGTACCTGATTAACATAACATAACAACTATTTTAATAATGTATAGAACCTTTGCTTTCTAGACAGATACAGGCAAAACTTTTTTTCCCTTTTCTGTTCCCTTCTTAGGATTTCTTTTCACCTTTTTTACTTTTTCAATTTTTAGAAATCGTAATTTTTAGTGACAACTAAAAGCAAGCAATTAGCATTTTTTTGTTTAGCAAATTTATTAACACATTTCATAACTTTCAGAAATAGGCCCCTTCCATTAGAAAATACATTTACATTTTAAGAGGCATAACAGAGATAACATGACCTTGACAACTCTTAGGAGCCTTGAGAAAAGGCAGGAGGGAAGGGAGAGGTCAGGTCTCACAGCTCATTCCTAGGACCTCAACATCTCCTGGGCCTCCAGTGACTTTAGTGTAAAAGTACCATTTTTTTCTTTACAAGGGGGGACTGGCCAGCCCCCACCCGCACTGGTTTTGCAACCTGTGTAAGGGCACCTCTGCAGCTCCAGCTCTCTAGGAGTAGGACAAAGAGCGTTTAAAAAATTTATCTTCCCATATTTTTCTTTCGGAGTAAAGTTCCTATGATGTAACAACATGAAAGCTTGTACGTAAGAGATCTTATCCCATTTCAAAACAGAAACAAAACAACATTTAAAGCAAACAAATGAGATCTTTCCAAAGGAGGGATTGGGACACTAGTCCTAGACTCTTATCTCATACCAACTGGTACAGCTAATGACCTTCACAAGGTCTAACTGGCACAAAGCCTAAACGGTGGAGACAGAGAATTGCTTGTGTTTATAAGACAGCAAA